GCGCAGTGTCAGTCATTTCCGTGCACACGTTGCACCCGCCACTCACACCTTCTTCAGAAATGACGGCCCTCTGGCTTCCGCGATTGAAGTACCGTTCTTCGTATCGAATGCGGGGCCCAACACAGCATTTGACTGGAACTACACGACAGTCACGCAGACATCGCTGAATAACCGCACTTTGACGTATCCTCGCGGTTATGTGCTCGGGGGAAGCAGTTCCACAAGTAGGTCATGCATTTCTTCACGTAGATTGACTTTCCAACAAGATGTGCGTAGACTACATGGCCTTCACGAGGTGTGCATCCGACGACTATGACCGTCTCGCGGACGCGGTTGGGGATGACGGCTGGTCATGGGATAGCATGGTGCCCTACTTGCTGCGCGTAAGTGACCCGGTCCTCGATGTAGAAGGTATCCGGACTTACGCGGTGACACTTCACAGAGCGAACAACATGTCGCCTCGTCGGACGGGCATGATACGACAGGACAATATGATCCTGCTTGGCACGGTGAAGGGCCGATCCTCACGAGCTTGCCCGGAAACCCGTCGAACATCGACGACAGGGTCATCGCCACGACCCAAGAGCTAGCCGCAGAGTTCCCCTTCGTACAGGAGATGAACAACGGGAACCCCCTCGGCATCGGATGGCTCCAGTCGACCATCGGGAGTAGCGTGCGGAGTAGCGCCGCGACGGCGTATTTGTCGCCGAACATCAGTGCACGGTCGAACCTCGACGTCTTGGTGAACACTCGTGTGACGCGTCTAGTGCAAACGGCCACCTCCGATGGAGTCCCCGAATTCAAGGCGTTGGAAGTCGCAGCGAACAGTTCCGGTAAGCCAAGGCTGACTTCCGTATCGTCTCCGACACTCAGGCTGATTGGCGTCATTGTCGCTGGTAGCTCCTCGCCTCGTGCTCCAGGCGCGTCAGGAGATAATCATGGCGGCGGGCTCAGTAGGGACGCCCCAGCTTCTGATGCTCTCAGGTATCGGAAACGCGTCTGAGCTCAGTGCTCTCGGCATCAACGCCACGGTCAACTCGCCGGAAGTTGGCAAGGGGCTGCAGGACCACCCATACGTCGCGTTTCAGTGGGCTGTGAACAGCACAGACACCTTCGATAGCGTCGTGAACAACGCCACGCTCTTCAACGAGACCCTCGCGCAGTACGAAACCAACGCTACGGGCTTGTTCTCCGATAATCCGATCGCCAACCATATCGGCTTCCTCCGCTTGCCGGACAACTCGAGCATCTTGGCGAAGTATGGCGATACCACTGCTGGACCAGGCGCACCCCACTTCGAATTCGCGTTCGCGAATGGATACGTTGGGACCGTGAGTGCGGCGCCGACAACGGGCAACTTCGTGAGCGCGGCAGTCGTTCTCGTCGCGCCATCTTCGCGGGGTTCGCTTGCGCTGAGCAGCTCGTCGCCGTTCGAATCGCCACTCATCGACCCCGCCTTCCTGAGCGCTGACGTAGACGTTCAGACGCTCGTCGCGGCTGTGCAGACTTTGCACCAGTTCTTCACTGCCAAGGCGTGGGATGGTTATATCCTGCAGCCCGCAGAAGGAAGCCCGGACTACGACAGCGCGCAGAGCATCGCGGCATATGTGCGCGAGAACGTGATCAGCATTCGCCACCCGGTCGCCACTGCACGGATCGCAGATGTTGAGTCGGGCCGCGGCGTATTGAATGCGGACTTGACGGTTCGCGGGGTGCGTGGGCTTCGGATAGTCGACGCCAGCGTACTCCCCTTCATCCCAGCCGGACATCCTCAGGCAGTGGTCTACGCAGTCGCAGAACGCGCTGTGGACCTCATCACGAAGGGTTCATCTTAGGAGTAAGATCTTGGTCAGATTCCTATGAGTTCGGCATCTCAGTATATTCTATGCTCAACACCATATAACGTCGTGGCACATACCCATCAATATTCGAGACATAATTATGTATTTTGTTCACAACACCGCCGGAGCACCTTATTTATTCTATCTGCGACTGAACCATCCTATCAGCACATCGTCCAATATTGCAGAAGTCCTTATCTTACTATCGCATAGGGCATTCCTAAATCACGAAGTGGACGCTTGGTCGACGTCGAGGGCAACGCGCTCAGTCGCGCGCGCCATTCGGGCCTCTTCGGACCGATGTGCGAAATCCTGGTCACCGACAACCCCGCGCCGCCTGTTTCCTGTCGCTCCATCCCGTCTTCATCCTACTCACGCTTCGTGACTCATCCCAAGCAGAGTTTGACGCTTCCACTACAGCCTATAACAATATGGTACCTCACATACGGCAGGATAGTCGTGCAAACGTCGTGAGTGAGAGGGAGCCACGTGGGCTGCTCTCAAACCGCAGACCTCGTTCGGGTTAGGGTTGGGTAGACGCGACGCGGCAGCCGCTGTCGCGCTTGACCCCGAGCGACGACGACGCGGCCGCCTTTGGGTCATTTCGGAACTAATACAGACCAGTACGATAAATGAACTTTGAGCTTGCGCCTTAGACTGACTTGCCTTTAGCACTTGACTGGTTATCTGCCATTCCGGTCTCGCAGTGCGTCACGTTCGCTTCTGATGATCGCCTACTTCACTCAAACTTGCCTAGCAGTCTGCACCTTCGAGCCTGTAGAACACCTTGCTCAAAGATGAATGTGTCTGATTCAGGTTGCTTCAAGACACCCGTAGATATGATCCTACCCTCAAGAGCTTACGATCTCGGTGTCTCGCTAAGAGTGCGCTTTCGCGAGCGAGGAGATCTTACAGATCTTGAGAATGCTATCATGTTCTCGTACCTCTCCGTCGAGCTCACCGCCGAGGTGCACATGAACAAACCTGAGCGGCTTTTTGAGCTCGGTGCTGCTCTGAGAGATCGGTTTCGATGTTACGGTTGGTTAGCCGACATTGATAGAGCCATCATAGCCATGGAACGTGCTGTCGAGCTATCACCAGATGAACACCCACCTAAGCCTGGTATACTCAGAGGGCTTGGTCTTATTCTAAGCGAACGCTACCAGCGCACGAGGAGGGTTGATGATCTTGAGCTGTCTATTGCAGCCGTTCAACGGGCGGTAGAGCTCACAGCTGAAGACGACTCACCAGAGAAGGCCTCGCGTCTGCATGATCTTGGATGTTACCTCACCATTCGCTTTCAACTACTCCTGGAGCTCGACGATCTCGAACGGTCCATCGCGGTTGGACGACAAGCCGTGGAACTTACACCGGAAGGTTACTTCGCGAAGACTGAGCGATTGCACAGTCTTGCTGTTTCTCTAAGCTATCGCTTTGAGCACCTTGGGGAACTTGACGATCTCGAGCAGTCGATCTCTATCATGCGCCAAGTCGTAGACCTTACGCCGGAAGAGCATCCTTACATGCTCACACGATACAAGCATCTCAGCACGTCTCTGATCGAACGTTTTCGCCGACTCAGGGAGTGGGTCGACCTTGAGCATGCAGTCCAAGTCATGCGAATTGCAATAAGGCTCATGCCTGAAGGGCAACCAAGAGATGCTGCACAACTACAAACGCTCGGGGTGTCCTTGATCACCCGCTTTCAGCGCTTCCGAGTGCCCGAAGATCTCGAGGAAAGTCTCTCCGCCATCCGAAGCGCGTTAGAGTTCACCGTTGGCGATGATCCCGAGAAGGCTGGACGATTGAGCAGCCTTAGTCACGCTCTTCTCGGCCGCTTCTTGTACTTCGGGGAGCTCGACGATCTCGAGCGGTCGGTTTCGACCGCACGACAGGCAGTAGATCTCACGATGGAAGAGCACCCCGACGGAGTTAATCGCTTATACAATCTTGGGTGCGCGCTCGAAGCTAGACTTGAGCGAGAACCCAACAAGGCGAACTTCGATGCTGCTCTTGATTGTTACATGAAAGGCACATCGCGAACGGTCGGCGGTCCCGCCGGGCGCTGGCAAATGGCAATTCAGTTCGTGAAATTTCTGACCAAAGATCACGGCCGCAAGTACGGCTCTGCCGAACTACTGCTGCTTGCGCATTCGCGTGTCATGGATATCCTTCCTGAGATCGTCTGGTTTGGGCACAGTATCGGAAGACGATACCAGGAGTGCGCGAAGATCAGTCATGTGGTCAGCGCTGCAGTATGCACTGCCATTCAAAACGAGGTGTTGCCACAAGCGATTGAGTGGCTGGAGGCGGGCAGGGCTTTCATATGGTTTCAGCTGCTCTCGCTCAGAATGCCTCTCGACGACTTGAAGGAGCAGCATCCTGGGCTGGCCGAGAGTTTGGAATCGGTTTCAAGGGCTCTACAACGCGCCGAGCACGCTTCGTTACATTCGAGCGCGACTGATAGCCCTGCCTTTGTCCACGACTCGAACCAGGATGCCGCTGATAAGAGACGGCAGCTCGTTATACGCTACGATCAGAAGTTGCGTGACATTCGTCGCTGCCCGGGGTTCGAAGACTTTATGCGCCCACCCAAAATTCGCAATTTATTGCCCGCGCTCCAGCACACCGACGGATCAGTGGTCTTCGTCAACGTCAATACGTCATCTTGCGATGCCCTGGTACTCTTTTCAGATAGCTCTATGACGCGTATCGAACTACCTCAACTTACGGAGAAGCGCGCGGTTCAGTTGCGGACTCTATGGGTTCGCAACCTCGAACGGAGCGATACTCGAATGCGCAGGGCAATGGCGCCGGAGAGTTTTGCTGCGCGCGGGGCCACGAGTGTCTTCGGTCAGATCCTTGCGCGTCTATGGACTTGGGTTGTGCAACCGATCCTGGAACGCTTGAACGTCGTGAGCACCATTCTCTCTTGCAGTACGTTCAACGCTCACCCACTCTGTCTCTAGTTGAAACGAGAGGCGGACGATCTACCCCACATAACGTGGTGCCCTACGGGGCCGCTCACGCAACTTCCCCTTCATGCCGCCGGCGTCTACAACGTTGAAGAAGGCCACAGGCTTCATGCCTTCGACTTCGTTGTGTCATCATACACACCCTCTCTATCTGTGCTTCTCCAAAACCATCACGGAGCCTCTGGAAGACATATCGCGTCGCAGCCAAACCTCCTCATGATAGCTCAGCCGGACACCCCAGGCTTGAGCCCTCTTCCTGGCACGACGAAGGAATGCGCGCGGGTCCGCGCCGCGCTTCCCCATACGACCTGCACCCTCCTGCAGCACGACGAAGCTGTCGTGGCGCGCACTTTGCAGGTCATGAACCAGTACCCTTGGGTACATCTTGCGTGCCATGGCAGGCAAGACACGACAGATCTAACACAGAGCGCCTTCGCGCTCTACGACGGCCGATTGACTCTCTCGGCGTTGATGAAGACGGTCGCAGACAACGCAGAGCTCGCATTCCTGTCGGCGTGTCAGACGGCCGTTGGTGACGAAAAGATACCAGAGGAATCAGCTCACCTGGCAGCTGGAATGCTAGTGGCAGGGTTCAAGGGCGTCATTGCGACAATGTGGTCGATCGGGGACGAAGACGCGCCTGTCGTGGCGGAGGCGTACTACAAGAAGCTGCTCGAGCTTCGGAGCTCGGGTGCGGTCAAGGCCGGGACGGGTGCGGCGTATGCGTTACATGAAGCGGTGAAGGTCTTGCGGGAGAAGGTCGGCGAAGAGAAGGTCGTCAAGTGGGCGCCTTTCGTGCACTTTGGCGTCTGAATGGGGTCTGAATGCGACTAGACGCCATTGATCAATTGCCCTATGACTTTATCTCTAAGGACAGGTAGAAGGGCTACGTGATTGGTACACATAGGCGTGCATGCCGTTACACTTGAATGGACTGAGAATAGAGCGCATATCTTCGATGGCGCAGGTGAGAACATATGTTCTTCGCCGAGACCACGCGCAGTCTATAGGAGACCAACGACACGGGTCATGTTCTCCAATAACTTCGGACCGTGTTGGCTGTCCCCGCTTGTTGGAGAGTTAGGGTAGTGTGCCAGAGTATGACGACACGGTAGCTGGACCTGGATCGCCCTGTTGAGGGACTGCGCTCGCGAGTAGATGCGTTCGAAGTATGAGCCCAGATCACCACTATCGCCGCTGCGCCGCGGATGTTGGGAAGTCCAGGGATTGTGGGTCGTCGACACTGGCGTGCGGCCTTTCGTCGGGATAGAGTATCCTTAGTCTGGTAGTGTATGCATTCCTACGCGTGCCGGAGTTCTCATCTATACGTGGCATTTTCAGTATCGCGACACTGTGCATTATAACATCGCGACACGTACCCATATTCGAGGTATCCGTGGTTTACCCCCACATTGGCACGGAGAACCGTTCGAGGGTGGGTCGAGTCTGTAGATGGTCATCGTTGAGATATGGATGACATCATAGAAGTAGCATACGCACTAAGCACCCAGATACATACCCCCTCCGATAGACCGACCGCAATTTTTTCAACCAGGTTTGTAGCTCAAGGCGGGGCACAACATGTCGAACACATACGAGCGATGTCGCTGGATTCTCGCGCCACCGCCTCCGCTATCGTCCGTGCGCCCTCTTGCAGCCACACGGCACCGCCACCCATACGACCTTACAAGGGCGCAAAGGCACAGCACCGTGTATCACCCGTGCAAGTCGTACTCTCATAGTCCGACGTACTCGTGGATCAGGCCGATCAGGTCGTGGTCGAGAGCGGCCCGCGTCCGGAGTTCGCGGCCGAGTTCAATCATGAGCGCATGAGGCCACGCGCGTACGACCTGCATCCTACTACCACTGCTTCGTCCGCGTTCAAAGCCGGACAGTTGAGAATGTCTTGAAGGCTGTGTACTCTGCATAAGACGCGGGTGGTACATGAGCACCTGCCTTCTGTATTCGGACAAGTGCCGCAAGTATGAGGATCCTGTGCTACGCGCTGACGATTGCCGCCGGGGACGCGCGTCTGCGTTATCGCTTTGACCGGCGACAAAGCATTCTCCTCGGTCGAGATCGCCCCTTCACTCACAAGGGCTATCAGGCCTATGATGAAGCCGACTGAGTGAAAACGCAGTCCGAGAACGTGGCACTGCGCTACTGTTAGTTCTGTCTATAACCACGTTAAGTATTATCACAGACGACCGTCTCAGCGCCTTCACCCCGTGTTCTTCGGCAACGTTGCTGACACAGCCTTTCTAACCTTAGGTCTGTCCTCATAAGCCTGAGCGGTTGAGACGACAAATTTCGTATTATACCTCCCGATCCAACCCAACTACGTGTCCACTGTTTTCAACGTGAGTGCATGCTAGGCTCGCAATGTGGCAGCTCTTTCTGATGAATCTACGCTTCTCATCTATGACACGCTCAGATATACGAATGGATGAGCATGCAAAGGAACGGGCACCCGCATACGACGATACCAGACCGGCGCAACTCCGTGACCTTGGTCTTTCCTTGCTGGGTCGCTTCGAAAGTCATGGCGAACTGGAAGTCGCGTATCTCGACTACGCAGTCTTGATGCTGAATATCGCCGTCGAGCTCACTCCCACAATGCACCCTTCTAAGCCTTGGAGACTATATGATCTCGGCGTAGCTCTGGGAACCCGCTCACAAAGGCTTGGGGAACTCCCTGATATCGAGCGGGCAATCGCCGCCTACGCACATGCAGTCGAGCTCACACCCATGGGTCACCCGCTTAAGCCTGAACGACTTCGTGGCTTCGGCATAGCTCTACGCGATCGCTTTCGGAATCTCGGAGAGCTCAAAGATCTCGAGGAATCGATCGCAGTCGTGCAACGAGCTATAGAGCTCACGCCGGAAGGGCATCCTGCAAAGGCCGGACAACTGCACGATATCGGTTGCTTTTTGATCGATCGCTTTCGGAACCTCGGAGAGCTCCGGGATCTCGAGCAATCCATTGCAGTCATGCAACGAGCTATAGAGCTCACGCCGGAAGGGCATCTTGACAAGGCTAAACAACTGCAGAATCTCGGTGGTTCTCTGAACGACCGCTTTCGAACCCTCGGAGAGCTTAGAGACCTCGAAGAGTCAATTGCAGTCATGCAACGAGCTGTAGAGCTCACGCCGGAAGGGCATCCTGACAAGGCCATACGACTGCACGATCTCAGTATAATTCTGCGCGACCGCTTTCAAAACCTCGGAGAGCTCAGGGATCTCGAGGAGTCAATTGCGGTCGTGCAACGAGCTATAAATCTCACACCGGAAGGACATCCTGACAAGGCTGCACAATTGCACAGTCTCGGTGGTTCTCTGAACGATCGCTTTCTGAGCCTCGGAGAGCTTAGAGACCTCGAAGAGTCGATTGCAGTCGTGCGACGAGCTATAGAGCTCACGCCGGAAGGGCATCCTGCGAAAGCTGGACAACTGCACGATCTCGGTCGTTTTCTGATCGATCGCTTTCGGAACCTCGGGGAGCTCATGGATCTCGAGGAGTCGATTGCAGTTATGCAACGAGCTTTAGAACTCACGCCAGACGGACATCCTCGAAAGGCTATACGAATGCAGAATCTCGGTATATCTTTGGGTGTTCGCTTTCAGAGCCTCGGAGAGCTTAGAGATCTGGAGGAGTCAATTGCAACTGTGCAACGAGCTTCAGAGCTCACACCGGAAGGACATCCTGACGAAGTCTGGCACAAGGTAACTCTCGGATACTCATATACGGAAAGATTCAAGCGAAATCCAAGCAAAGCGAATCTCGACGCTGCTTTGAGCTGTTTCATAGAAGCTACTGCATGTTCGACGGGGAGCATATCTAAACGTTGGGAGTCGGCGCAGAAGTGCATACGGCTTCTCCTCGATGACCGCGGGGAGTTTGGCTCCGTCGACTCATTGCTACTCGCGCATTCGCGCGCGTTGGACCTCCTTCCTGCAATTGTGTGGCTTGGACACGGCCTTGAAAGACGGTATCATGAGTGCGCTAAGATTGGTAGTGCCGTCAGTGATGCGGTACACACTGCTATTTATAATGATGCCTTGCCTTACGCAGTCGGGTGGCTGGAGGCTGGGAGAGCCTTCGTATGGTTTCAGTTGCTTTCATTGAGAATGCCCATAGATGATCTAAAGGGTCACCATCCCGATCTTGCGGAGAGATTGGAGAGCGTGTCGAAGGCGCTACAGTACGCCGAAAGCTCGTCATCACATCGCTTCAGCGTGGCTGACTTCCCTGCGTTGGAGTACAGTGTCGATGCAGCGGCGGATAGACATCGTCGACTTGCCATACAATACGATGAGACCCTGCGCAGTATCCGTCGCTGTTCGGGGTTCGAAGACTTTAAGCGCTCGCCGAAACTCGACGCCTTACTCCCTGCCCTCGAATACACTGGTGGACCCGTGGTCTTCATAAACGTGAATCCGACTTCCTGTGATGTTGTGGTTCTCTGTTTGGACGGGACTATGACCCGCATTACACTACCACAGCTGACAACGCGGCGTGCTCAGAATCTGCGGGATCTCTGGACGCGTCAGCTTAAGATAGCTCATACGCGTGTACGCAGGGCGATGGCGCCGGAACAGTTCACCGCACGGGGTACCGGGAGTATATTCTGTCAAATCCTCGCGCGCTTATGGGCTTGGGTTGTGCAGCCAATCCTAGGACGTTTGAACCTCGTAAGCACAACTCGCTATCTGATAGTGACGCATGCTCACCTGACCAACTTTAGTTAAAACAAACCCCGAACGAGGTATCACACATAACCTGGTGCCCGACTGGTCCACTCACTCAGCTTCCTCTTCATGCCGCCGGCATCTATGACACAGAGCAAGAGTACAAACCCCACACCTACGACTTCGTGGCATCGTCGTATACCCCGTCCTTGTCCGTGATCCTGCAGAACAGCCGTGGCAGTCGGCAACAAGTGGCGGCCCAGCCGAACCTCCTCTTGATCGCACAACCGGATACCCCAGGCCTGAGCCCTCTTCCCGGGACGACGAAGGAATGCGCTCGCATCTGCGCAGTGCTCCCTGATGCAGCAACTACGCTCTTAGAGCACAAGGGCGCCACGGTCGGGCACACGCTCAACATCATGGCTCAGCATCCCTGGGTGCACCTCGCCTGTCACGGAAGACAGGACCCGACGGACCCGACGAAGAGCGCTTTCGCTCTCTACGACGGTCCTTTGACGTTATTGGCCCTCATGAACACCGTCGCAGATAACGCGGAGCTCGCATTCCTATCCGCATGTCAAACCGCTGTAGGCGACGAGAAGATACCAGAGGAATCAGCTCACCTCGCGGCCGGGATGCTTGTGGTCGGGTTTAAGGGCGTTGTGGCGACAATGTGGTCGATCGGGGACGAGGACGCGCCTGTCGTGGCAGAGGCATACTACAAGAAGCTGATCGAGCTTCGGAGCTCGGGTGCGGTCAAGGCCGGGACGGGTGCGGCGTATGCGTTGCATGAGGCGGTGAAGGTTCTGAGAGAGAAGATCGGCGAACAGAACGTGGTGAAGTGGGCGCCTTTTGTGCATTTCGGCGTTTGAACGTGATGTAGAGATGTTGAGTTGGTCCTGAACTGGAAACATGTATTGTATATAGACCGTACGGGACTGTACCGCATTGGGCCGTGATTGTACTAGCGATTAGCATTAGCAAAGCAAAGCGTACAGTACAATCCGCAATCATCCAAGCAAGCAGGAGTAAACCATCCACTGAGCAGAACCTCCACTCGAAAAGACCTAAAGGCTTTCCAAGAACCTGACCACATCCGTCGCGACCTCAGCTCCCTTACTCCCATCCCCACCCATCCCGCCAATTCCACCTGCACCGTCCTCATCGACATCATCCTCTCCGGCTCTCGCCACGCGTTCCATGACAACCCTATATAGCCCCGCAAACTCCCTCGCACTCCCAAGCAGATCATCTTTCAGATGTCTGAGCGCAGCAGCGTTCTCCTCCGAGCCGCGCATGAGCAGACCGAGAAGAACGGCGAGATGTCCGCGTAGGACAGCTCTAGTGACATCTGAACCATCTGAGTCGTCGATGTCGTTCGCGGGTGAGGTGCTCAGGTAGAGTTGCGCGAGGACGTCGAGTGAAGGCATGCGTTGAGTACACGCGCAAGATTGCGCACAGGACCGAGTGAGTGGGCAGGTTGGGTTCACGTTGAGTAGCCGTACTCCGTCCTTGGCACGACCACCCGCGTCGGTTTGGACGAGGTTCGTGAAAAGTCCGAGTGCGAGACAGAGACGATCAAACTCGGATGCCTGTGCGGCGCTCTCCTCATCATCGTCGCCTGCCTCCGCGCCATCCGCTGCCTGGCCCTTCACGTTCTCGACTACAAGATGTGGATCCTTCATGGGTCCAGAGCTCAGGTTCGTGCGGAAACCCGCCACGAGTCCCAATACCAACGGCAGCGCGAGTGATTGGTCGAGCAACAGCGCGCACCACGCCGCGTTCTCGTGGGATAAGTTGACAAGGACACGAAGTGCGCTTTCCAGGCACCCGCGTGCAACCTCTTTTATTGCTTCATCTGCCTCATTGCTCGCCTCGGAGAGCAAGATGCGACAAGATGCAGCAAGTGCTAGTAGCCCTTCTGCCAACTCCGTGCACTCGGCGCTTCTTCCCTCGACAAGAGCCTCCGCCCGCCCCGAATCGTCTTTCTCTGATCCCCACCGATTCAGGAGGAAGGCGTCAAGCATAGTCAAGCAATGCCTGATGTGTTCCAATGAAGGGCCATCGGGCACCGATGAATCCGGCAACAACGGTAGACCCGCGGAGTATCCCGCCAATCGCGATGGTAGAAGCGCGAGATCCGGAAGTAGGCTGTCGAGCAAGCTCGGTATATGCGCAGGCGAAAGCGCCGATGGGTGCAGAGAGGACAGGGCAAGCGATAGATGTGCACGAAGCGGCGGATGTGACTGCGTCTGCGACGTGATCTTCGCACGTATCTTGGACAACGTCGCGAGATTCATCCTCTCAACTCTTCCCGTAACACCTTTCCCCGCCGCCTCAAGCTCCAGTATATCCCGTCCCCTCCCAACCTCCCCCATCAACTCCCAACACTGCACTTCAAACGCCTCATCCCTCCCCAACTCTCCTAACTCTGCCGCGCCCTCCCTTACCACAATTCCCACAAAAGCCGCCGCACAAGCGTCCAATATCCTATCCCTCTCCCCGCCTCCCTCATCCTTCCTCGCCCTCAAAGCCTCCCACACTCGACTCCGAAACTCGCTCGCCCTCGCCCGTCGCGCAAAGCCCGAATCGCACATCTTCGTCAGACATTCTAGGGCGCTTGCGCGTCGGATCGCCGGCGCAGATTCGGGCGAGAGTCCATCAAAGAGATCTTGAACTGCATCAAGGAACCTCCGCGCTTCGCCTCGATTGCGTAGCTCTGAGAGCCCACGAACGTCGTTGTGCATGTTAGGCGCGAGTTTGGGTTTGCCTGCCCCGAGCGTGGCGAGCCCGTCGTCGCGAGCTTTGCCTTTGACGCTGTTCGACTTGCGCGGCGAGGTAGGCCGTCGTGGGGAAGTGGGCGGTGAACTGAGCGGTTCGAAATCGTCTACGCCCAGTTCTTTCCTCAATTCGCGATAGCTCGCTGGCTCAGGAACGAGGTCGAAGTCCATCAATCCAGCGCCGGGCATGGGCGCTAAGAAGGATCTCGAGCGTCCGGCGTACGTCTTGATCGAGCCAGAGTTCAGACCGCTGCCGCTTGCACTTCCTTGTAGCGGTGCAGGCGGCGGTCGCATAGGCAAGATATCGGGCTCGGCCGAAGGATCGGCGGAGAGTTCAAGAGGGAATATGAGGGCGTCGTCTTCTTGCATCTTCACATCGTTCTCCGCGGGTTGGAACGAATTCACACGCGAGAGTATACGCGACGGTGCACCAGAGTCCTGGCTGTCCTCTGCTGACAGGTCGGCTTCGGTGCGTGCACGGGCTAGCATGCGTCGTGCCACAGGTTCAGCGGCACGTTCACCGAGCCCCGCGCCGCGACCATCTTTTTCGGGCGATGTGAAGTCGAAGAGGTCCGAAAGGTCCTTGGTGAGCGGTCCTTTATCCTTTCCTTTGCCTTTGACGCTCGTAGGATGTGATTGAGAGGTGGGCAATGTGTTTGTACGGCGGATCTGAGACGCGTTGGAAGGTGACGTGGTAGTTGGAAGTGATTGAGAGGCCTTCAGCCGCGACGCTGTTCGCGATAGGGGCTTCCGTGTGGCAGTCGAAGCGGGCTTTACTGGCGAGGTAGATCGTGGGCGTTTGGGTGGTGGCTTGGAAGCAGGTTTGGGTGTGCGCTTCGAGGTGGGTTTGACGGGCGAGGAGTCAAGTAGCAGTGGGTCGTCTGAAGAGGATGTCGCTCGAGTATCTGTCTGATCGGACGCTTCAGGTGGCAGGCGAATAGGGTGCCGCACGCGTTTGAGAGGTTGTTTGGGCGGCGGCGAACCTGTACATTAGAGATACAGTTAGTCGGGATCGGCCTTACACCTCGTTCAAAAAGACGTACGAGACCGCCTTTCCGGTTCTATGGTTGCGCTTTTGCGCGGAGATCGACGCGTAGAAGGTGGTTCAGGCAAGGCGTCTGAACGGGTTTGAGTATATGCGATCATGACAATCAGTTCTGGAAGATTTACCTTCGTCATCTCCGGTGGCATCAAAGTAGACCGCTGAGCTCTTGCGCAAACTTGACGGTGTCGCTACGACAGTGTTCAATTGTTAGTGCGCATCCATGCGCCACCCACATGAAACATACCCGAAGCCATGGATTTACGCGTCCTGCCAGTACTAGGCGTGGCATTTGTTCTCACGGTACTCAAAACAGTCGGAAAGACTTCCTCTGTACAAAGAGGAGATCAGTATACCGTGTCATAGTTCGAACCGCGGTGTAGTAACGCACCAATATCCGAATCACTGTCCGCGTTCCGAGCTAAACCATTGTTGAGCACGATATCCAACAAAGCGCTAGTTATGCGAACTTACCAGGAGCAATCTTACGCCTTTTAGCGGATCCCACAGGTGAAGTAGTTGTATCCGACGAATCCGCGGCGCGTTTCAGGGGCGACCGTACTCGGTTATGGTACGGCGAGCGTGGGACAACGACCTCGACGATACGACGCGGAGATTTGGTCGGACTCGGCGGTGCATTTGACTTGACAGGGCTGATCGCAGGTACGGGCGAAGGTGAGCGCGCAGGCGCGGTACTTTGGCGCCTGTGCCGACGGGCGTATGTCCGCGGCGCGCTTGACATGTTTCGGCCCAGTGATGGTGGTTCGAATCGAAGTCGCGTCGACGCGTGGCGTCACGCGTCTGTGCCGCCGGACTCGGAGGGTTTTCTCCTGCCACCGCCATCACCTGTCCTGCTCCCGGCGGGCTTGACTCCCTTTCTTCTGTTCATCGTACTCAGCGAAGCTCATCTACCAACGCCCACGCCGGTGGCTGAAGCGCACTGAATCGGACAGTGTTGAAGTTGAACCCGCGACCCAGCGCGACTAGCCTCAAACGGCCACACCCTTATAAGTACTACGCTCACACCCTTACAACTTCAAAGGTCACAATGCTACAGAAGATCCTGCGGGCTCAGGGTGACGATCGGTAGCTACTCGGGATTGGAATAATGGTCGGACGTGGGACAAGGACTGATTGCTTTATACACGAACATCCACCGTATCATCAACCGTGTACCATGAGTGCCCAATGTAATCACGTAATTTATCATCTCCACTTCTCTATCTACCTATACGGCCACCTTTCGCCCGCAGAATTCAAGTAAGGCCCCGCAGACGGCGGCCCAACATCCGTCGTCAACCAAAACTGATACTCCCACGGTACCAGCGTCCCTATCCATGACCCCAACTCGGGCCACACCCAATCGCACAGCGCATCACTTCCCAGCCCCCTCGACGCCAGCTCTCCCTCAAACGCACCCCTCAACGCCTTATAGTCCGGCTCCTGCTCGAACTCGAGTCCGTATGCGTGCTCCATGAGCGCCGACAGCTCGTCGGGCGCATCCGCGAGAAACTCAAGCATAGAGGGGTGGGACGGCGCTTTCATCTCGCCTATGATTCGTATCTTGTCCTCGCGAGTTGGAGCGTGTACGCCTTGCCACGGCAAATATCCGTAGTACAGATACAGCAGCGTATGACCGAGCGAGACAATATCGTCTCTGCGACTGCACTCTGCTCGTACGTTCATCAATATCGAACTCGCACTCGCATATGTGAATCATAGTAGGAGGACGCACCGAGCCCCCGATGCGACCAATGGCTGCAGAACCGCGCCGTGCCGACGATCGTGCGGCCCGTGCGAAGCGGTACGTGCGCACCAGTGCCCGGATCGATATATCCCCTCGCATTCCCAAAGTCGAAGTTGTATATTGTAGACGCGCGGTCGGGCGTGCGTCCTACAGCCGCATTGTGCGGCTTGATATCGCGCAAGACGATCCCGCGACGATGCGCGCACTCGATGAACTCGAGCTGCATGGTATAAGTTCAGCGTCTGCCCACTCCTTACTTGCGACGGTGGTAGAATGGGGTACTTACAAGTTGAACGCCGATCAAAAGCACGCACTCGTAGCTCAGCGTTCCGCGGCATATGCTGCGCAGATCTTCGAGCGTCGGCCCTAGATGGTCTATCACCAGCACCTCCCCGCCGCCCTCGCTCCCCGCCCAATGCACGCGCGGAACCGCAGGGCAGTCGGAGAGATGCGCGTATACGCACGCCTCGATTCGTACGGGCGTCGGATCGCCGTCGGATTGTGGCATGTCGTATTTGATCACGACGGGCTCGTTCGTCAGGTATGCTATGCCCGCGCAAACGGTTGCTAACAAGACCAGGTCAGAGCAGACTGAGACTACTCGAGGAAACACCACGTACCGCCTCCAGGCCGAGACCAAGGCTGCAGCTCATCAAGAATCTCATACATGCCCCTCACCCGTCTCGCGGACCCTCTCACCCACACCTCACTCGTCTTCCACTTCCCAGGCATACTAACAACCTCCACCATATCATCCGGCCCGACGACCATAGTAGCCTCCACGCTCGTATGCTGCCACAGCGCATCCACCTCAGGATGTCTTGTGTTTCCTGGGAGAGATGGGCTGAGGAGGGCCGTGGACAGTCCGGCGGCTGCGGCAGGCTCGAGCGCGCGGACGGAGGATGGCGATACGACGAGGATCTGGTCGGTGGGGAGGTCGTCGGCGCGTCCGCGTCGTATGTCGGTCAGAATGGAGTGCATGTGTGAGGTTGTGCATGGGGAGAATAGGCCTGGTGGGTCGTCGAAGGGCGGTATGATGCGCAGGGGGAGGTCCGAGAGCAGAGGAAGTACAAATGCTTCGTATGCTCGTTCGTCCAATGTCGAGTATCCGAACGTGGCAAATCCAGATCTGCTCAGACCTTCTAAGGCGTCTTGTATGCCAGGGACGAAGAGAGGCGTAACGAGCGTCTGCAAGGCCTCTTCGAACCGCTCCGATGGTACAGCGAAAGAAAGAGCCCGCGTAATACTCTGCAGCGCTCGCCTGCTGACATCGAGATAAGCCGCTTTCTGCGAGACATGTTCGAGCGCTTGGAGCTCGCGCAGACGCGTGGTCCAATATCCGACGCTCGTCTGTGGGACGCCGAGCTGCGTGAGTGCGTTCTGCGCGGGGGTTATGAAGTCCTGTTTGGGAGCGTGTGAGCTCTCGATGCCATGGAGTTGACCGATGGACTTACGAGTATAGCGCCGCAGACGTCGAATACGATCGCACGGACGGTGTTCTCGCTGGGCATTACCCTCGGCGCGGGTCGTACGCGTGTGAACTTGGGTGTAGCCGGAAGCCATCCGTCGTCGTCATCGCTGTCACTCTCGCTATCGTCACTCTCGCTATCGACCGTCCGTGAGAGATCCTCCTCCTCCTCTGCATCAACAAGCGCTTTCAACCGACAGAGCTCTCGATAACGCTCATCCGCGTGCGGCGCAGACTCAGAACCCTCTTCCTCGCGGACATAAGACGTATAAAGCGCGAACGCACCCTCCCAGCGCCGGACATCGCACATCCAGTTGATCGCGCGCGTCACGCCTTTCCACGAATACTCGTATCTCAACCTGTATGTACATCCCGCATCAATCATCTGTCTTTGCGATGAACAGCAGAAACCGCAGTACGCATATGTACCTTACCTTACCAGACTCACCAACTCGCTCCACACATCGGCTTCGCTGATGAATAGCTCGTCCCGATCCAATGGCGAGATCTCGAACGCGAAACTCGTGTCGGGCTCCCGCATCTCATATCTATGTTGCCCGCTGAAAGTGTCCCACTGCACATGTGCCGCGGTCTGACTTATATCTCCACAATAACGCGCGTAAGCCTCAGATGGGTGGTGATCCCGGTAGAACGCTATGAGGCGGCGATAGCTCTCGTCGTCGAGCTGGTAAAAGCTAGGCTCAATAGGGTCATTCGCGCTATCGTCATTCCACTCGCATTGTTCGCGCATGAGCGGATACGTGTGGACGTAAAGATCGGTCACGTCTTGTGGGAGGGGTCGGTTGAGGCGAAGAGGTTCCTTGCAGCCGCCAGGGGTGAGCGGCACGTAGAAATCCTCGAACGGAGGTCGGGGCTTTTGCTGCGACACGATGAAGAGGCCCTTCGGTTTGAGCGGCGGCGACGATGCTGGTACATATACTCAGAAGTCTCATACAACTGACGTATCGGGAAGAAGGGATTCGTACGGTAAAATCCGGTTTCTGGATGCAGATGTATGCGTAGGGCCGTGAAGGGGCGCGTCTGGACCGTTCCGGCTACGTAGGCGCCGTATGGCGAGGTCTTCGACAAGGATGGGCCTGGGAGGAGTCGGGCGGTGACGAATGCGTGGGGGAGCATGTGATGGACTCAGGAGAGTAAGTTATGGACGGCAGCGCAAACGGTGTCTGGGTGGGCATCGGCATTTCGGACCGAAATCGTTCCCACGCCGTGTACTGGCTGCTGTTCATACCGTGCAAGACTTGGAGCCTTGCACGCAGCCGAATTAAAGTACGACGCGTACACCGATGGTCTGTCGCAGGTAGCTATCACCCGTATATGTACAGACGTCCACGGAGCATCCTCAGGTGGACGAGTGAGCGGCAACAGCCAGTGATTTGAGGCGAGTAATAACCCCAGTCTGAACGCGTCATGTCATGTAGAGGATATCTTGATATTTGCATAAGAGAAGCAAGAGAAAATAGAAATATGTATATGAGAGCAGTACTCGCGGTACCGGGTACTGGCGTGCTGGCGCTGATCAGGGACGACATGGTGGTTGAGTCGAAGTCACGGCGCGCGCTCGACGCGTCGCGTCACAGCCGCACGCTCAACGATTCAACATCCCGTTCTCCTCCTGCCATCACCACTCCGCGCGTCCTTCTCGCACGACTTGCTCTCTTCTTTTTCTCATCCCAGCTCATCCGATCCGTACTCTACACCGTCAAATTTCCTGAGCTTAAATCGAATTAACTACAATACGTTTACCCGGCTCTACACCCGCCATGGAAGTCTACCAATCCCGGATCGACAGCTTCAACAAGCCGAAACGAATCAAGCCGCCCAGCGCCAAACGCGCGACGACCGTCAAATGGCCGCACCCGTCCAAAGTCGAGGCCCTCGCCGAAGCCGGCTTCTTCTGGTCGCCGACGCCCGAAGACAAAGACAACGTGGAGTGCTTCCTGTGCGGCAAGACGCTAGCGGGGTGGGAGGACGACGACGACCCGCTCGAGCTGCACTGGGAGAAGTGCAGGGATAAGTGCGGGTGGGCGGCGAGTCGGTGTGGGTTGGTGAGGGATCAGGATCGGAAGGGAAAGTGAGTGTTTATTGTGGGTTGTGTTGGTGTTGTGCGGAGATTGATGGGGTTGTAGCTTTGTGTTTAGGGACGCGGAGAGGTTGCCGACGGGTAAGGCTATGGAGAAGGCGCGGCTCGCCACTTTCAAGGTCGACACGCCCTGGCCGCACGACGGCGTAAAGGGCCACGGCGCTTCCTCGTCCAAGGTGCGAAGCATCATATCACGCGCCTCTTGAACGCATCAAGAATACTCATATGATCTAACTCAACAGATGGCCCACGCAGGCTTCGTCTACACCCCAACAGCCGTCGGCGACGACACCGCAACATGTCTCTACTGCCTCGTCTCCCTCAATGGCTGGGAAGACGACGACGACCCACTGTACGCACCCACTCCCCTCTTCCTCGTCAAATCTAAGAACTAACATCCAATCGTTCACAGAGAAGAACACCGCAAACGCGTCTCAAAATCCGCGCTCTCCTGCGCCTACTTCACCTCCCAAGCCTCGACTTCCACCTCATCCACCTCCGACCTCTCACGCTCAACAACGACAAATAACGTCAAGAAACCCTCCTCGCTCTCCAAATCCCGCTCCAAATCCCGCTCGCGCGCGCCCGCGTCCGACGCGGAATCCGGTGACGACTTTGATCCAGAGCCCGAACGAGCGCCAGCGCCTAAATCGCGCGCACGTGTGACGTCCACCGCGAGCCAGCCCGACTCGCTTAGGCGCTCGACGCGGCGGGCGCCGACATCCCAATCGCAGCCGCAAGAAGAGGCTGTCGTCCCGCGGCGCACGCGCACGACTTCGACTACGAGCACGAATGGCGCGGACAGCCTGCGCCGCTCGACGCGCCGTGCGCCTGCCTCACAGTCTCAGCAGGACGAAGAGGACGACGGGGCGGAGTTTGGGTTGAATGCCAGTACGCGGTCCACGCGGGGCACGGGGAGAGGCAAGAAAGAGAAGGAGAGGGTCGAGACTATTGCGGAGGAGGAGGACGAGGAGGATGAGGGCGCTAGTGCGCCTATTAGGAGGGCGGGCGTTAAGAAGGGTGTGGGCAAGAAGGCGAGGGGGAAGACGAAGGTCGAGGAGTTGAGCGATTATGACGAGGTAGAAGAGGAGGAGGAGGAGAAGCCGAAGCCCGCGGCGAAGGGCAAGGCGAAGGCGAAGGGGAAACAATTACCGCCTACGCCGCCGCCCGAGCCGGAGCAGGAGGAAGAGGACGAGGACGAACTGCAGCTCGCGCCGAAAGCCAAAGCCAAATCGAAGGACAAAGCGAAGGACAAACCGATCCCGCTCTACGCCTCCGACTCTGCAGATGAGCAAGATGGACCGCCACCGCCTCCTCCGCCCGCGAAGAAGAAACCGTCCTCAGGCGCGACGAAGCGCAAGACCCAAGCCGACGAAGATAACGAAACCTCTGCGCCACCCGCAAAACGCGCCTCCAAGGGCAAGCTCTCAGCCGCGAAAGAAAAGGAAAAAGCGAAAGGGGAGGAGGAAAGCGGCGCGATCAGCGTCCCGTCGTCCGACGCCGAGATGCTCACGGCAGAAGACGCCTCGCCCGAGCCAGTCCCCGCCACGAAGAGGCTACGCGGCTCGTCCGTCCAGCGCGCCTCGTCGCAGCGCGGGTCGTCCTCTTCGCTCCGCGGATCCTCCCAACAGCGCGGCTCGTCGGTCCAGCCTCAGCCTCCGCCTTCGCGCTCCAGCTCGCAGCAGCCCGCACAGACCAAACCCGCCCGGGGCTCGTCGGTTAAACCTGTTGAACGTGCATCGTCTGTGAAGCCTCCCGAACGCACTTCATCTGTGAAACCCCTTGAACGCGCCCAATCCGTACAACCTCAACCTCCCCGCAGCCGCACCGCCACAGCCGAAGCGCCCCGAAGCCGTACTGCGACGGCAGAAGCCCCCCGCTCACGCACGACGACGGCCGAAAAGGAAAAGGCCACGCGCCCGCCTAGCGCGAGCGAGAAGTTGGCTGCGATGCGGAGTCGGACTGCGACGGCTGAGGGCGCTGTTGATGGTGGGGTTGCGTTTCCGATTGTGGAGGAGAGGGAGGAGATGGAGGAGATGGACGTGGATGATTCGGAGACGGAGAGGAGGGCTGAGAGGAAGAGTCAGAGGGAGTCGGTGAGGAGTCAACGCGAGGCGGATAGGAGTCAGCGGGGGGTGGATAGAAGTCAGCGGGAGGCTGATCGTAGTCAGCGGGAGGACGATCGCAGTCGGAGAGACATTGAGAAGAGGGAGAGGGAGGAGAGCGGCAAAGAGCGTGGACGCGCGGACAAGATGGCTGTGGACAACGCTCCACCGCCGGTCAGGCCACCGCGCTCGCCGCAGCGGCCACGGTCAAAGAAGGAGGAAGACGCGGATGTGGACATGGAGCTGCCGCCGTCGAGTCTCCAGACAATACCGAGCTCGCAACCCGTACCCTCATCATCCCAACTGCGTCCACCGACTTCACAGTCCATGCAAACGCTCCCCTCGTCCCAAGTTCTCCCAGAATCTCAAAGCTCGTTCGCAACCTTACCCCCCTCGTCTTCAGCTCCCAGCATGGCCAATGGTGTCAACGGGACGATCGGGCATCTGGACGACGTCGCAGAGGAGAACGAAGATGATGCGGACGAGGGAGAGAAGCCCAGTGCGAGTATGAGCGCCGAGGAGCGCGATATGACCGTTGAGCAGTGGATCCGGCGCGAGGTGCAGCTGAATGCGGACGCGTTTCAGAGGGAGGGCGACGCGCTTATTGCGGCGGTCAGGGCGCAGGCGGAGGAGGCGCGTCGGCAGATCGAAGCGTTATAGCGTGTGGGGCTCGGAATCGTTCTCATTTATTGGCATGGACTCGCTCTACATACATCCTCATACATACGCATATACTCATCGCTCTCTGTACATACTTCTCCCTTATTCTCAGTTACTTAGTCGGGTGTGCGTATATGGGCGCTGGTTTGGGCGTCTTTCGGCCAGGCACTATCGCTCCCCGCATACCGTGACGATCTTGTGGCGAAATTCAGGGAACTCTATCCTCTATCTCTACTTGTTCCCTTCCGCCATGTCCTCGCAATGCACAAGTCGACCAATATTGCAGAAGTCGTTGTCCGCGCGTTTTCTCCGCTAGCTGGGAACGTACGCGGCGTGTTGGGAACGAGGCTAATGGCCCAGACTGCGGAGATGTTTGAATGATCGGCAACTTGCACGACAAATATAGGGTCGCTTTCTCTCGCGCGCACTCGACAACGCACCCTTTCTTTCTCATCTCTCTCCTCCCTCCTCGTCTCGTACCCTCCTCTTACCTTACACCCCTCCACCGCCCTTCGGCATACATACACCCAAACATGCTCCCGTTACTCACTCTCGCCGCTCTTTACATCGCACCCCGCGCCGTGCGCGCCACGCCATGCGTCGCCATGGACATCAACTGGAACCTCTACGCTTTCGGTCTTAATGGCAAAGACTGGAGCGCCGGCACCCAGGACTCTTGGGGCTCTGGTATGTATTCGAGTGTTCTGAATGCGGTTTGGGCATGGCTCTGAATGGGTATTTGGATAGGCACCGCGACCGACGTTACCGCTTCTGGACGCCCGTGCGTTGTCTTCTCTTCGCTTCCCGCAAGCGCCCGCCCAGCGCGACAACTGACATGCCCGCCGCAGACCCTTCGACGGCACCAACACAACATGCTACCTCGCCCAGGTCAGTCTTATTTCATCAATATACCCCATTAGAGCATATTGCTGACCGCGTGGACAAATTATAAGTTCTCCAACGCCATCTACGTGATCGACGGCGACAAGTCTAACCCTTCCGACATCCACATCTTCGACGCGGGCGCAAAGTCCTGGTCGACGCAGAAGACGAACGCGGGCAGCTTCGACCCCGCGAGCGCGACGTTCATTCTCGACCACGACACGAACGTCTTCTGTGCGTTTCTCACACCCCGCTCGAAAATCCGAGTGTCAACTTGAAACTTACTCATCGATGATGTTGTAGATGCGGTCTTGAATGGCGAGCTCTGGGACCTCGATATGGGTGCCCTTGTCACGGCGAACTCTAGTGCGCTCAACTGGAACGATGTCGAGGCGACGCCGTACGGCGCGGATTACAAACCGACGATGGCGCTTGCCCAGAACCACATCCACTTCATCGGTGTTCCGGGCGCAACGACTGGCGACCTCGACATCTTCGTCATTCACTGTAAGTAATGGTCTCCGGCTTGCAAAGAATATGATTCAACGTCTTTGTACAGTCTCGTTCTTCCAGCCCGACGCCCAGGCCTACCCATCCTCCTCCGGCTCGACCGTCCTCCCCGCCCAACACGGCAAGACCTCCTCCTTCTTCCAAGCCGCCGGCGTCCAACAAGAGTTCGCCTACATCCCCGACGACGGCTCCGCGACCTACGTCGTAAACGTCGAGTCCAACACGACCCAGACGGTCGCGGGCCCCTCGTCCAAAGACGCCAGCGCATTCTACTTCGCGGGCCTCACCGCGCTCGTCCAGGTCGACTCCGCCGGCGCCGTCTCGTACCTCCCGTACAACCAGAACGACACCGCCGCCAACGCCGCGGCGAAGTGGACGAGCGTCGCGAACCTCGCTAGCGCTGCGCCGGCGAGTTCGGCGGCGGCGAGCGGGACTGGAACGGCGAAGGCTACTGGGACCGGATCGGCGAGCTCTGCGTCTGGCACGGGCTCCTCGTCGAGCTCGGGGTCCAGCTCGAACTCGAGCAGCTCGGGCAGCTCGAGCGACGCGAGCGCCGCTGCGGCCGTATCAGCCCGCGGCGTGATGGCCACCGGCCTCGCGGGCGCGTTCGTGCTCGCTCTCGCGGCTATTGCCGTTTGAGCGGTGTCATATGACTGCGCTTTTGTTACACGTCTATGCAACGCACGGACCTTTCATCCCATTGGACAGCTCGCTTTGTCGTCCTCATTCTCATCGTCATACTACTCGAGAGTTCCTGATTTTAGTAGCGCACGTACCCGTTATCACGCTTTGTCTCTCGTTTTGCGTTTGATTCGTGTGTCGGCTTTTTGGTCCGGCGCGGTTTAGCTGTTGGCTTCAATTGGGCCGTGGAATACAGTCTTAGATGTCCATCATTCTCGGATGTGACCCCCTGCGAGAGCGCATACAGCGATCATCAACAAGGTTGTGTGCATTCCTTTCTATTGAGCTCCTTTAGCACCTACATCTAGGTGATGCCAGCGGGTGACGCGCGTGCTTGACAGCCTTGCAGCGGCGGCAAATACTGATTGCATCGACGGGATCGAGAAGATTGGTACAGATATACGTCAAGCTACAGTATGTATCTGTCTTTCAGTGCACGACATCAGCAGCACATTGACACTTGTCTCAAACAGACACCAATAACCAACACACGAGATAACAACGACATCGGCGCCTCTCTGATACGAGTCACGTTACAAATTCAGACACCGAAATGTACGAACGGAGCCCACTTGACAACGTTCTGCTCGCCGACCTTCTCCCTCAGAGCTTTCACCGCCTCATGCAACGCATACGCCGCACCCGTCCCGGCCTTGACCGCGCCCGAGCTCCGAAGCTCGATCAGCTTCTTGTAGTACGCCTCCGCTACGACAGGCGCGTCCTCGTCCCCGATCGACCACATCGTCGCGATGACGCCCTTAAACCCGACCACCAACATCCCGGCCGCGAGGTGCGCCGACTCTTCTGGTATCTTCTCATCGCCGACGGCTGTCTGACATGCGGATAGGAACGCGAGCTCTGCGTCATCTGCGACGGTGTTCATGAGGGCCAATAACGTCAAAGGACCGTCGTAGAGAGCGAAAGCGCTCTTCGTCGGGTCCGTCGTGTCCTGTTTCCCGTGGCAGGCGAGATGGACCCAGGGATGCTGAGCCATTACATTGAGCGTGCGCTGTACGGTGGCGCCCTCGTGCACTAAGAGCGTGGGAGTCATGTCGGGGAGCACCCTGCGAATACGAGCGCATTCCTGTATCGTGCCAGGAAGACAGCTCAGCCCTGGCGTGTCCGGTTGTGCGATCAAGAGGAGGTTCGGCTGGGGAGCTACTTGATCTTTCCGACCACTGTAGCTGTTCTGGAGGATCACGGACAAGGATGGGGTATACGACGATGCCACGAAGTCGTAGGTGTGCGGTCTGTACTTTTGCTCTGTGTCATAGATGCCGGCAGCATGAAGAGGAAGCTGAGTGAGTGGACCCGTCGGGCACCACGTTATGTGCGATACCTTGCTCGGAGCTTGTTTTATCTACAACTCATCAGGTGAGCATGGACCCTTCTCAGATGAGGAGTCTTGCTTACGAGATTCAGACGTTCCAGGATTGGCTGCACAACGCAGGTCCATAAACGCTCGAGGATCCGACAGAATATACTCATGGTGCCGCGTGCGGTGAACCATTCTGGCGCCATCGCCCTACGCACGCGCGTATGAGCTATTCCGAGTTGACGCGTCCAGAGTGCCCGCAGATGCTGAGCACGGCGCTCTGTCAGCTGTGGGAGTGCAATGCGGCTGATAGTTCCGTCCGAACAGAGGACCACAGCATCGCATGAGAGCGGGTTCACATTTATGAAGACTACGGGCCCGTCGGTGAGTTCAAGTGCAGGGAGTAAACCGTCGAGTTTTGGCGAGCGCATGAAGTCTTCGAACCCTGAACATCGACGAATGCCACATAATGTCTCGTCGTACTGTATCGCAAGCCAACGATGTCTATCCGCCGCTGCATCAGTACTGTAGCCCAACGTCGGGGCACTAGTCGCTAAGTCATGTGATGACGGGTTTCCCGAGTGTCGCAGTTTCTTTGACACTCTCTCCAGGCTCTCCGCAAGATCGGGATGCTGTTCCTTCAGATCATCTATGGGCATCCTCAACGAAAGTAACTGGAACCAGACGAAGGCTCTCCCAGCCTCTAGCCACCCGATCGCGTGAGGCAAGGCATCATTCAACACGGCAGTGTGTACCGCATCACTGACGGCACTACCGATCTTAGCGCATTCATGATATCGTCTCTCGAGGCCGTGTCCAAGCCATACAATTGCAGGAAGGAGGTCCAACGCGCGCGAATGTGCGAGCAGCAATAAATCAGCAGAGCCGAACTCCCCGCAATCGTCGAGGAGAAACCGGATACACCTCTGCGCCGAATCCCAGCGCATAGAGACGCTACCCGTAGATCGTGTAGTCGCTTCAGCGAAACGGCTCAGAGTAGCGTCAAAATTCACCCTGTTTGGATCCCGCTTAAATCTCTCCGTATACGAGTGCACAAGGGAGATGTTGCGCCAGACTTCATCGGGATGCCCTTTCGGCGTGAGCTCCATGGCTCGTTGCGCAAGTGCAATCGACTCTTCGAGATCCCTGACCTCCCCGAGGCTTCGATAGCGCTTGTTCAGAGACAAACCGAGATTGTATAGTTGTCTAGCCTTTGTAGGATGTCCTTCCGGCGTGAGCTTTATAGCTCGCTGCGCGATTATAATCGACTCCTCAAGATCCCCGAGCTCTCCGAGGTAACAAAAGTGATCGTGCAGGAGACAACCTAGAGCGTGCAGGCGTGCAGCCTTTTCAGGATGCCCGTCCGGCGTGAGCTCTATAGCTCGTTGCATGACTGCAATTGATTGCTCGAGATCCCTGGGCTCTCCGAGGTTCCGAAAGCGATCGTTCAGGAGACAACCGAGATTGTGCAGTTGTCTAGCCTTTTCAGGATGCCCTTCCGGTGTGAGCTCTATGACTCGTTGCATGACTGCAATAGATTGCTCGAGATCCCGGAGCTCTCCGAGGTTCCCAAAGCGGTCACGCAGAGCACAGCCGAGATTGTGCAGGTGTCCGGCCTTTTCAGGATGCCCTTCCGGCGTGAGCTCTAGAGCTCGTTGCATGACTGCAATCGACTGCTCGAGGTCTCTGAGCTCTCCGAGGTTCCGAAAGCGATCATTCAGAGCACAACCGAGACGGTGCATGCGTCCAGCCTTTTCAGGATGCCCTTCCGGCGTGAGCTCTAGAGCTCGTTGCATGACTGCAATCGACTCCTCGAGATCCCTGAGCTCTCCGAGGTTCCAAAAGCGAGCGTTCAGAGAACAACCGAGACCGCACATGCGTCCGACCTTTTCAGGATGCCCGTCCGGCGTAAGCTCTATAGCTCGTTGCGAGACTGCAATCGACTGCTCGAGATCACTCAGCTCTCCGAGGTTCCGAAAGCGGTCATTCAGAGCACGACCGAGACGGTGCATGCGTCCAGCCTTTTCAGGATGCCCTTCCGGCGTGAGCTCTAGAGCTCGTTGCATGACTGCAATCGACTCCTCGAGATCCCTGAGCTCTCCGAGGTTCCAAAAGCGAGCGTTCAGAGCACAACCGAGACTGTGCAGTTGTCCCGCTTTTTCAGGATGCCCTTCCGGCGTGAGCTCTATAGCTCGTTGCACGACTGCAATAGATTGCTCGAGATCCTTGAGCTCTCCGAGGTAACGAAAGCGATCGTGCAGAGAACAACCGAGACCGCACATGCGTCCGACCTTTTCAGGATGCCCGTCCGGCGTAAGCTCTATAGCTCGTTGTATGACTGCAGTCGACTCCTCGAGATCCCTGTGATCTCCGAGGTTCAGAAAGCGATCACGGAGGGCTATGCTAAGACAATGGAGTAATGTCGGTTGAGGAGGGTTGCCTTTGGGCGTGAGCTCGACTGCATGTGCGTAGGCGGCGATTGCCCGCTCGATATCAGGGAGCTCCCCAAGCCTTTGAAAGCGAGTTCCCAGAGCCACACCGAGATTATGCAATATCTGAGGCTTATCAGGGTGCTTCGTAGGCGTGAGCTCAACGGCGATATTCAGCATCAAGACCGCGTAGTCCAGATACGCGACTTCAAGTTCGCCTTGACTTTGGAAGCGACCAAGTAAGGAAAGACCAAGGTTATGGAGTTGCGCCGGTCTGGTATCATTGTAGGCGGGTCCTTTCACGTTGTCATCCATCCGTATATCTGAGTGCACGTAGTTGAAAAGCGTAAATTCATTAGCGGTGGCTGTCACATCGTCAGCCCAGCATGCACTCACGTTGAGGCCGATGGACAGATAGTTGGGTCGGACCACGGGGTTCAAGGAGAAACCTAGCATCGTGGCCCGCTCAGGCTTATGAGGACGGACTCAAGGTTAGATAGGCTGTGTTTGCAACGTTGCCGAAGAACGCGGGGTAAAGGCGCTGAGACTCTCGCCTGAAATGATGGCTGTAACGGCACTAACAGTCGCGCAGTGCTGCGTTCTCGGGATGCACTCTCACTCAGTTGGATTCATGATATAACTGACATTGCTTGTCAGCGAAGGGGTCATCATGATAGCGAGGAGAAGGCCTTTTCGCCGGACAAAGCGATAACGCAGACGCTCATCCCTGGCGGCAATCGGCTGCACGTAGCACAGGATCCTCATACTTGCGATACTTGCCCGCATACATAAGGTGCTCGTGCACCAACCGTGTCCTATGACGAGTACACAGCCCTCTAGAACAGCCTATGGCATCTCAACTGTCTGGCTTTGGACGCGGACGAAGCGGTGGTGGTAGAAGGCACGTCGCGCGCGGAATAAATGAGACTGGGCGGCGAGCGCCGGACGCGAGTTGCTTTCGACCACGACCTCGGACCTGGCCCCTGCCTACGTCGGACTGTAAGAGTACGACTGGTGCCCACGACCCACGGGACCTACTATACTTGTATCTTCGCGCCCTTGTAGCTTATGTAACGCCATATGGGTGGCAGTGATCTGTAGGGGGGCATACGAGGCGATGCGCCGGAAGCGGCGGAGGCCCGCAAGAATCTACAGTGTCGCACAGCAGGCTGTGCCTTGAGGGAAGTGTAGCGGAACTGGTGGAAGGGATGTCTGGGTGTCTGGTGCGTATGCTATACTCTACTCTGCCGACTATATCTCATTGATTACCATTTGTAGATCTCGACCCAATTTTCTGCCCAACTCTCCCAATGATGGCTCTTGTGTACGCGTCGGGTTTGGGCAACGCTTTTGGCGTGATGTGCTCAGACGCTGGTTGTTGCGAATGTGGGTATGTGTCGCGGCGTTTCATCTTAGGCATCAGGCACTGAAGGTGCCTACTATAGACGAGTACCGCAACACCCTCTGGGAACGCGCGAACCATCGCCGACATAGGGACGCTCAATCAGGATGATAGAATGCACGCCAGCGTCAACGACCCCCCACACACTGTGAAGTCTGCGAACGCTCCAACATCCACGACCCTTGCAGCGACGATGGGTGGCGAGCGTATCGAACTTGATATTAGTGCGACCGGGGTAGCCGGTGTGCTCATACTCCCCACGCGTCTATTCCTCAACGCAGACCCTGGGCAGGGTATCCCCGGTTCAGCCATCTCGTTGCTACACTTCCCCACGATACCCAAGCTAGCCACCGAGCGGAGACGGCCAACATAGTCCGAGATGGGCTCATTGGAAAACAGGCCCGTATCGCTGTTCTCGTACTGAGGGGAGGCATTGACGAAGGACATATACTCTCAACTACGTCCGCGCTGTTCACAACCCATCCACATTTAATAACATACACAACTTGATAACATCAATGATCATGCGACCCTTCTGCATATCCAGAGGAACAGTGGAAACGGCGGGGAAGTTGACCGGTCGCATGTTCTCAACCGGCGGGATGGTAACATTCAGACACCGAAATGTACGAAAGGCGCCCACTTGATGATGTTCTGCTCGCCGACCCCTTCTCTTAAGACCTTCACCGCTTCATGCAGCGCATACGCCGCTCCCGTCCCAGCCTTGATCATGCCCGAGCTGCGAAGCTCGACCGACTTTTTGTAGTACGCCTCCGCCACGATCGGCGCATCCTGGTCCCCTATCGACCACATCATTGTCGCCACGACTCCCCTGAAGCCGACTGCCAGCATACCAGCGGCAAGGTGAGCTGATTCCTCGGGGACCTTCTCGTCTCCGACAGCCGTCTGACATGCTGATAGGAAAGCGAGCTCCGCATTGTCCGCGACGGTATTCATAAGAGCCGATAACGTCAATGGACCGTCGTAAAGAGCGAAGGCGCTCTGTGTTGGATCGGTCGTGTCCTGCTTTCCGTGACAAGCGAGATGTACCCATGGATATTGACCAATGATGGCATGAGTGTCAGCCACGACAGCTTGCTCATGCTCTATAAGCGTGCAAGTAGCACCGGAAAGAACGGCCCGGATGCGAGCACATTCTTCTCTTGTACCGGGAAGTGGGCTGAAGTTGGGAGTAGCTGGTTGTGCGACCATAAGCAGGCTCGGTTGGCTTGACAGGGTACTCGGTGCTTGACGCCCGCGCTGCTGAAGCGCAGACAGAGAAGGAGTATAAGACGACACGACATAGTCGTAGACGCGTGGTCGATGTTGCTTCGACGCATCATAGATGCCAGCGGCGTGTAGCGGAAGTTGAAGGAGCGGCCCTGTGGGGCACCAGGTGATGTGCGGAAGCGTCTGACTCTCAGAAGCGGGCTTGATCTGGGCGGTTGTGATGAGATGAGTGATGGCATCGACTGAACGATAGACACCGCTTACGAGGTGAAGGCGCTCGAGAATAGGCTGTACGACCCATGTCCATAGACGCTCTAGGATGCGAATGGATATACTGGACGCCCCACGGCCTGTCGAGACCTCATTCAAAAAGTTGGTCACCATTGACAACGGTCGGCCTCAGTGGCCAGCTGGATAGCCTTGGCTCAGTCATCATTATGAGATGCGCCCGTTGGGCTGACTCGTCTCTGCGAGACTCGATACGTGTTATAGTGGGAATGGAATGAGGATTCGCAGCCCGTCCAAGAGAGAGGTGATGGGAAAAGGCAAACGCGGCGGCTCGGCGCGCACCGCGTCTCTTCCCTCCTCACGCGTTCATTGCACACAGAGGCTTTAGTTCACGACAGTACCACTACATCATTGATCTAGAGGGATGAACCCCTTCGTGAAGGCGTGTATAAAGTGGTATACAATTGATGTTTCATCCCAAGCTTGACTGTTCTACAACATGCGGTAACAATACCCGACTACGCTACAACTTGACTACAAAACCTCTCGACGTGGAAGATGGAGAACTACTCGACAGCGACAACAAATGCGGATGTACGACACAGACGGATCCATTGATGATAGATAGGAAAGAAGAGAAGGGGCTGAAGGACGCTCAGGGCTCAGGGCTTGATGCAGATCTTGAGCGCGCTGCGGCTGTTCATCTTGTCGAGCGCCTTTTGGTAGTCCTCGAGCTTGAAGACGTCGGTGACCATGCCCTTGACGTTGATCTTGCCGCTGTCGAGGTAGGCGACGGCACGAGGGAAGCAGTACGTCTGCGAGAACGAGCCAATAATCTATAGCTGGCGTGAGAACGAATGTTCAGCGGGAGGAAGCTCGGATGACGTACGTTGATCTCGTCACCGAAGATCTTGGATGGCGGCCAGTGGACGAGCGCCTTGTTCTCGTAGACACCGTAGATCATGAGAGTACCGCCGCGACGAACGTAGTTGATACTCTCGTTCGCGAGCTTCTCAACACCGGTCGCTTCAACGACGATGTCGAAACCGTAAGGGTTGTCGTCCTTGAGCTTCTGCCACTGCGCTTCAGGGTTCTGCCTGTCGAGCTCGATGTACTCGTCTGCGGCGTTGAGCTGCTTGGCAAGGTCCATCTTGATACCCTTGTTTGCGGCGAGAACTACGCGATGTGCGCCGTTGTTCTTGAGCAATTGGGCGAGGATAAGGCCGGTCGGGCCGGCGCCGAGAAGGAGAACCTCCGTGCCGACGGGAGGGTTCAGCTTGTCAAGACCGTGGATCGCGCATGCTGCCGGCTCGAGAAGCGTTGCCTCCTCGTCAGAGATGTTCTTGATCTTGTACAGCTTATGTTGAGGGCTACACAGAATGATAAGCAAACTGAATCCATGACCCGAGGAGCGCCTTCTGTACGCACTAAACGATGTACTCGGCGAAACCACCATCGGCGGTGACACCACGCGCAGAGAAGTTCTCGCACATGAGTTGTGCGCCACGGCGGCAGTAGAAGCAGTTCTCGCACTGAGAATAGCAATGTCAGGACCAAAGATCATCATGTATCCAGATAAGGACGACTTGCAGTCTCGCCGACATCCGCGACACAGCGATCGCCCAGCTCGAAACCCTTCACATCCTTGCCCATCTCGACGACCTTCCCGATTGCTTCATGACCGGGGATAAGCTAAAGAATGTCTCATTTAGGACCAATAGCGTAGATAGAGCCGGCAAGGAATCGCATACCGGGAACGTAGAGATAAACTCGCCGTCGTGGATGTGGCCGTCCGTACCGCACACACCACATGCGGTAACTGCAAGTTGTGCGTCAATACAAGTATTGGATTATATGGGTCGGCTTTCTTGCCCGCGCACCTTTCAACAGGACCTCGTTATCCTTGGGTTGCGGGATCGGCACCTGCTTAATCTCGAAGTCCTGGGGCTGTCAAGGCGCAAGACGTTAGCCACTGCTTCTCCACCCTTCGATCTGAGTTGTGGCGCTGTCGTACCTTGTTGTACCAGAGAGCCTTCATGGTTCCTTGCGGCATCTTGGGCAGTAAGATCGGGGTGAATATACGAGTGAAAGGTGGTTGAGATGAGAGGTGTACGAGGAATCGCCGCCAACTCGAATCTCAATTCTTATACGCCGATTTCGGCTTCGCGGAAATGACGTCAAGTGTCTTCCGACCGCCGTCCAGGGCCTTCCGCCGCCCGCCAAAACTTGCCAAATGCGGCGGATGGGCGCGAGATCTTGCGAGCCTCATGCGCCCGTCCGGAAGCGACGCGTCGACGTGCATGTCCGTCTCAGATCGCTCATGCGATCACTTTACTAGCTGTCTGCTAGTATATGTCTGTGCTTGCGACGGGCTTTTAGGACTCTGTGCAAGCGCTTTGAACCACGAGAGTATGACGGGCACTCGTAAAAGAAGATCTTCTACCGCGTCATCTACGCGTCTAGGTGTCAGGGACAACCTCGGGATGCCCTGATTGCAGTTATCAACCAGCCGCATCGTGCGCGCAGTTTTTTCTATCTCGTACCCCGGAAGGTACAGCTGACTGACTTTCACATGGGACGTCATATCTGTACGGACCGATGAGACCGAGGCCAGATGCATCCTGTACCTAGTCGTCTGTAGCGTGTACATGACCGTATATGGAAGGACTACGAGTAGGGCGCGCATGCCACCGGCGGTATTGTTGCTTGGGGCCTCGAACGGCCAAGGCCGAGAGTTCGATGAAGCACTGATCGTTGGAGTACGGCCGTATGCACATACAGGAAGGATGGCTGTTCGCATGACGCGCAATTGAGCTCGCGGGAGTGCACCGTGGCTCAAGCGCTCAAGTTGTACGAGGGGGTCTCTCAATATCTGCTCTGCACTGAGGGAAGTACTATCGATTAGGACGGGCAACGAACATGAGCTGAACAACGCACTCTGCATCTCCATCATTCCCCTCCGAGTCAGTCTTGTTCTGGTAAGCGCCTAAGGCAGACCCCAAGTAACTCGTTGGGATATTCTGATACAATTGACGAGCAGGAGCGAGTATATGCGAGACCCGTCTACCCAGAAGGTAAGTATATTTTCATAGTCATGACCATCCTCTGTGGCAGGTCGCAACCTGTCGCAACGCAGCTTCGGACTTAGCGGACGTTCTTGACACGTTTTTGAAGTTTGATCCGTTGATCGCTGACGCGCTCCCGCCTGAACCTCTCGCTGCTCTCGGCTCGCTCGCGTGGCTACCGCCTCCATGAGGGGGTGCTATTGGACGCTTGATATCTTTGTAGCCTGTCCGGGAGATCAGGTGCACTTAAGCCTATCATGTCTAGCTTCCTGCCTTACACATCTCGGCGCCATGTATGGCCAATGTCGAGCTAATTTGAGGACAGGGCGCGCCCGGGAAGTTCAAGTGACATCGGTGTTTAGCGCGGGGCGAAGAGTATAACATAGAGACTGCCATCTATACGCTTTGGTTTGCGCCTATACCCATTTTCACAATGCGATCTGTACCGTTGCCAGTCTTTCTCTGGGCGGTACTGTCACACGTCGCACTAGCAACCGTCCACGATTCGATCTCCAGTCTCGACACAACCGAATGGGACGTCATCATTGTCGGTGGTGGCACTGCGGGCTCTGTCCTAGCTAGTCGCTTATCATCAAACGCGAGTGTATCTGTGCTTCTCGTTGAAGCTGGTGGAGAGTGAGTAATGCCAATGCCCTACGCGTTGTGTGAAGTTTGGCCCATGCATCTGCCAGCAACGATGGCCCTTCTGCCTCTGAGATACAAGTGCCCTTCTTCGCGTCGCAAGCCGATACGTCGGGCTCGCCATACACCTGGAACTACACGACCGTTCCCCAAAGCCCATTGGGCAACCGCTCGCTACCTTATCCCAGGGGTTATGTGCTCGGAGGATCTAGTTCTATAAGTACGTGACTGGTTTGTGCCTACCTGTACGTTGAGTTCTGACGCCACACTCTCTTCGCTTAGATGGGATGGCGTATACGAGGGGTGCATCTGATGATTTTGACCGACTGGCTAACGTATCGGGTGATCCAGGATGGTCTTGGGACAGTCTCGTGTCATACTTTCTGAAGGTGAATACCCTTTCAGCTTGACGCTCCCATAACTGATCGTACGCCGAGTAGAGTGAACAAAACGTTGCCCCTGCAGATGGACACAATACCACAGGACAGTACGATCCCGCCTGGTATGGCGACGGGCCTGTGCTGACCAGTTTGCCTGGTTGGTCGTCGGCCATTGACGAAAGGGTGATAGCGACGACACAGGAACTGGCTGACGAGTTCCCGTTCAATGAGGAGATGAACGACGGAAGCCCGCTCGGCATCAGCCGGTTGCATTCGACCATTGGACACAGCGTGCGGAGTAGCTCTGCTACGGCGTTCTTGTCGCCGGATGTGCGTGCAAGAGCAAACCTTGATATTCTGATCAATACGCGCGCCACGAGAGTGATCCCGACGGGGAACTCGGACGGACAGCCTGAGCTCAGGGCTGTGGAGGTCGCGGCAAATAGTACAGGTGCGTTCTCTCATGTATGCCAACTCAAATCCCAAGTTGACAAGGGATGTCGCAGCAGCTCGTGTTGTGCTCAATGCACGTCGAGAGGTTGTCTTGTCGGCAGGCACGATCGGCACACCACACATCTTGATGCTCTCGGGGATAGGAAATACGTCCGAGCTCAGCTTATTTGGTATCAACACAGTCGTCGATTCACCCGAAGTTGGCAAAGCGCTACACGACCAACCATTCTTCTTCCTGCAGTGGTCAGTCAACAGCACCGACACCGTAGATAGCATCCTCAACAACGCAACCCTCTACTCGGAGAGTGTCGCTCAATATGAGAGTAACGGAACGGGCCTTCTCGTAGAGTCGCCCTTCGCAGCAAATCAGTTCGGCTTCCTTCGACTCCCGAACGACTCGAGCGTGCTCGCCACGCATGGCGACCCAGCGGCTGGACCGGGCGCACCACACTTCGAAATCAGCTTCACGAACGGTTATTCCAGTAATGTTCAGGCTCCACCGACGACTGGTAACTTTGTCAGCGGTGCAGTTGTATTGGTCTCGCCAACATCGCGAGGTTCGGTAGTCCTGAACTCTTCGTCGCCATTTGACCCGCCGCTCATTAATCCTGGGCTTCTCATCACGGACGTAGACATGGGGATCATCGTCGCGGCATCCCGAGCGCTCAACACATTCTTCTCTGCGGACGCGTGGATAGGTTATATCATTGCGCCGGCGGAAGGGAGTCCGGATTATAATGATACGCGGAGCATCGAGGCATTCGTGAGGGAGAACATTGTCAGCATCAGCCACCCGGTATCGACCGCTCGGATAGTGGATATGGAAACGGGTCTGGGCGTGGTCAATGCTGATTTGACGGTACGCGGTGTACAAGGACTGCGCGTTGTTGACGCGAGCGTGTTGCCGTATGTACCTTCTGCGCATCCACAAGCAGCGGTGTATGCGCTGGCGGAACGGGCGGTGGATATTATTGTAGGCTCGTGGTACTAGCATAGTATGAGTCAATGTATGCGATGGTGTACAGTCCGACTACATAGGCGAACGAGGCGGATATTGTAGCGACATGGCGGCGAGAGCCAGCTCGACATCCGATGTTGGGCGATCGGCCCGCACCCCCCGGCTTCCCGAAAGGGGTTTACTTTCACATCACATGTCTTTCGCGCTGGCGCGTCAATTTCTGACTCTAGCGCGCGTCTGTCCTGACCTCATCAGTCTCAGCCGTCGTACATTCTGCGAGGCACACATAAACAAACTGCTTCTCCTCTACAGGTCTTTACCTCGAGCGCTATGCTCACCTAGGGCTCCTAGTGTACTATATCCATCTTGGTTATCCTCGCGCTCGCAAATACCGGCTCGGTCGTACTCCACGCCTTCACGCCCTGTAAATAGTTCTGAGGAAGACACATTTCAACGGGAACCCAATATGAACTGGTCTGCATCTGTTGTCACGGCCAAGACGGCTGATACGGAGCCTATGATCGTCGTCACGTTCGATCAGGCGAAGTACTACTTCAACGCGGGGGAGGGAACCACACGTTCGGTGCTGCAAGCTGGTCGAGGATGGAGGAAAGCGAAGGCTGTGTTCCTTACGGAGGCTGGTACAAGAACCAGTGGTGGACTTGCTGGTGAGTCATCTTGTCCGGGCGTGCATGGGAACTGTGTCACTAAGTATAGTTGCACCAAGCCTCCATACGCCTGACATAATGGACATGATTCTGAGATACCGAGCGCTAACTTTTACCACCTACAGGCATGCTCATGTCTATCGCGGACTCGAGCGAACGAAAACTTGATATCATCGGTCCAAAAGGCATCCTGCACTTTATTGCTGCCATGCGCATCTACACCTATAGGTACGCATTACTGGTATATACAGGTCAGCTAGATCATTGAGGAATGTGTCAGGGCACATCTAGCTCTCAATATCACGGAATCCAAGAATACTGCGACGTCAGCCTCGGCTTCTTCCAGTACCCCGGACCCAATATACAAAGACGGGAATGTCACTGTATACTCGATCCCACTCTTCCCCACCCCGCAAGATGTCTTCGCCGCCGCCCCACAGGACGCCCCGGCCGAAAGTCTGAAGCGCAAACGAGATCCATCTCCGGACTCATCATCGAAACGCCTTGCCGCGACAACTTCATCATCGTCCACTACACCCGTCGCTCCACCCACGCCCGCGTCAAAGCCATCGTCACCTGGGAAGCAAGCCAAGGGCAAGCCCAACTCCTCCGCCAACGATGAACATCCCGACGACAAGAGACGCCGCAACTTCGTGAACCACATGTTCTCGTGGAAAGAGCCGGATAACGCTGGTGTCCAGAAACGCAAGGGCAAGGGAAAGAAGGATGAGCCTGCGCCCTCCGATCCACCTCCATGGCACGAGCCCACCGACGCCAATGCACGTTCTTGGCGCCCGCCGCCTAAAGGCTGGCGCAACCCTCTCCCGCCTTTTAAACCTACACCGGACACTCCGCGCACACTGTCCTACGTTCTTCTCGGACCGCAAATGCGAGGGAAGTTCGACGTGAAACGCGCAGAGGAGCTTGGATTGAAAGGGAGGAATAGGGCGCGAGTCGCGCAGGGCGAGACTGTCAAGTTCATGAGGAAAGACGCGGAGGGAAAGGAGTTCGAGCAGGTTGTGAAGCCGAGCGATGTGCTGGGAGAGACGGAAGAGCCGCAGGCTGTGTTGGTACTCGACGTGCCGACGCCGGGCCATATCGAATCGCTCTTCGACGCGTTCAAGGGCTCATTCTACGCTTCATTGAGGTCGAAGAACGAAGAGGATTGGAAGAAGCATAAGGCGCGCGTCGTGTATCACATACTCGGACCTGGCGTATTGGAACACCCGCGCTACAAGGAGTTCATGACCGGGTTCGCAGACCACACTCAGCACATCGTCTCTGCACCTGAGGTCGCGCCCAATCCGGCGACGTTTGTCAGCGCAGCGTTCTCCCAGCTCAGGCTGGGTCAGCTTGATGATCAGGTCTTCCCTCTGACGAAGTACAGCCTCGATGCTCCCAAGGCACTTTCCGGTATGTACCTCTCTTCGCCGTCCATAGTCTCATTTTCTCACGCTTGGCTCTCATTGGCAGACGTCCCAGATCTCCCGCCAAACACAACTTTGATGGCGCACCATCTGACAACGCGCGTTCGCCCCGCTATCCCATCAGAACTCCTAGCCGACCTCGTAGCGCGAGATCGCTTCCATCCCGCCGTCGCATCCAACAGCGAGTGGGAACTGCCGGAGGATACGAAGGCGCGCTATGATGAGGCGAAGAAAGCCGTCGAGGATATTATGGCGCCTGAGCCGAAGCCGGGCGATGATCTTGTCATTGTACCGCTTGGAACCAGCTCAGCTGTACCCAGCCGATACCGCAATGGTAGGACTATCACTTCTGATCTGGTTGGAAGCGCTCTGACGCACACTGTCAGTGTCGGGTCTGCTCCTGCAGATACCTGGACAAGACAAAGCGATCATGGACTGTGGCGATGGGACATGGGGGCAAATGTGCCGCTTCTTTGGGACTACGGGCGAGGGGAACGTGTGGGAGGTCCTGCGCGACTTGAGACTGATATACATCAGCCATGCTCATGCGGACCATCACGCCGGTTTGGCTAAGATACTTGCTATGCGCAAGCAGGTTCGTGTTGTCCCTGCACATGTAGGCTGATTTGTATAAGGCTGACTAGCGCTCTACAGCTCGATCCACCGCCTACTGAACCACTCTTCCTGGTTGGGCCATATGTTGTGCATCTGTACATCAGGGAGTACGCTGAGGTTGAAGAACTCGGGCTACTCGATGGCTATGAGGCGGGTACTACAGATGTTGTGCCGATTCTGAGCGAGGCGCTTCTGCCTCCGCGCCCTGAAGACAAGTTCTCCTTCGCGAATATGTCCGGATGGCGGAACTACGACGCGTCAGTTTGCTCATGCATCAACAACGTGCGAGACCTATACTGACGGACCTGTAGTTCGAAAGCTACCACTCGCGCGCTATGCGAGCACTTGAATCTCGAGTCGTTTAAGCTCGTTGAGGTCCAGCACCGCACGAAAGCGTCCGGCCTTATCATGACATCCAAAGACGCCGATGGCCCATGGAGAGTGGTCTACTCGGGCGACACCATGCCCTGCGACGAGCTCGTCGAAGCCGGCAAGAACGCAACGGTCCTGATCCACGAAGCCACAATGGGCGACGAACAACTCGAAATGGCCGAGAAAAAGGCGCACAGCACTATCGGTCAAGCCGTCGACATCGGTAAACGGATGAACGCGCGACACACTATTCTCACGCATTTCTCGACGCGGTACCCTGATATGCCGGCGTACCTCGCCGAACCCCATGTTGGCGAGGGTGAGGGGACGAATGTGGCGCTTGCGTTCGATCATGCAAGGATGAGAGTGGGGGATCTGTGGAAGATGCCTTTGTATTTGAGGGCTATTGAGAAGAGCTTCAAGGATACGGCAGAGCCGGAGGATGAGGAAGAGGAGAAGGAGTTGTTGGCAGCTAATATCGGGCAGACGTAGCGTAGTAGCGATGAAGACTATCCAGTACCTTCATTGGATCACATGTACGCTTGACTATACTATACCGATGCCGAAGTCGTAGTTTCAAGTTGATAGTAACCCAACGTGAGAAAACCCCCTCCGCCTGTCGAGATCGTGCCATGCGGACGAAGGTCGCGCGACGAAGTTCTGGTTGTCTCACCACGATGGTCAAATCATCGACTCTGCCGCAAGCCACCATTGCGGGCAGCACGAGGCTGCTGGCTCACGAACCTGTCCGCGCAAACCCGCTAGACAAAAAACAATACCTGTCATCTAGTTCTGAAACTTTGTCATTGCCTGCGTCGACTGGGGCTCGCATTGCACTCGACTTTGACAATTTCTACCCCACATAAACTGCTGTTCACTGTATACCTGCTGCTTTACCACTGCCAGCATGACGCCGGCCCAAATCATCCTCGCGATATTTGCACCTCTGTTCCTTGCCTACCTCTACGTCCGCATCAACGACTCGAAATTGATGCGCCTTCCACCCGAAGTTGCCAAGGCTTTTCAGTCTGAACGGTGGACGGACGAGGACGTCAAGTCCGACTTCTTGAAGATGCAGGAGAAGCCTCTCAGCCTCGATGGAAAGCTTCCGGCGAAGACGGGCAGAAGATACATTGTCATTGGAGGAGCGGGATTTTTGGGAGGATGGATCGGTCGGCATCTCATTGAACGTGGCGAGGATCCTCGGAAGATACGCGTCCTGGATATTCGACCACCCACGCGTCCTGATCTTACGACCGGACCTGCAACACAAGTCGACTTCCGCGCTGTCGACATCACTGACAAAGCTGCGTTGGACGCTGCTTTTGATGCTGCGTGGCCAGATGGAGAACCTTCGCACGATCAGACAACCGTCTTCCACACCGCCGCGAATATCCGGTTTTACGAGCGCCACCCGGACCTTTTGTACCGCAGTGCAAAGGTCAACGTAGACGGGACACAAAACATCCTCGACGCTTGCACTCGGACGGGAGTCAAGATCCTCATCTACACCTCTTCCGGCTCGGTCCTCGTTCACCGCACACGCTTTCTGATGGGATTATTTGAGAAGGAACCTCCGTTGTTTACGCAGGCTGTCGATGATACCAGTCCGCTACCGACGAGACACGATCAGACGTTCTCGAACTACGCGGCGAGCAAGATTGAAGGAGAGAGGCGCGTTCGGGCGGCGAATAGGAAGGATGGCTTGAGGACGGGCTGTGTCAGGCCGGGGAATGGAGTTTATGGACCTGGTGGAGATATCCTGTGCGGGGCGTATTTGGTATGCAAGCGTTTCGTCTCTTCATGTCCACATATCCGCTGACAAACTGCCCCTCACAGGTACGCCAAACCAATCCGACATGGATAGGTCACACCTTGCAGTCCTTCGTCTTTGTCGAAAACGTCTCGCTCGCGCATCTATGCTATGAAGCCGCTCTTCTCTCCTCCCCACAACTCGGCGGCGATGCCTTCTGCGTAGCGGATCGCGGACCACCAGTCACGTACGGAGACGTATACATGGCGTTAACGCTCCTGACCGATGGACTCGTTACGTTCCCCGAGCTCAGCAGTACGGCTATGCTCATGCTGGCGACCGTGTTCGAGTGGATCTATCTGGGGAAGTACTTCGCAAGCACGTCTTCCAACGCCATCGTTCGAGCGCTTGGCAAGCTCTTACCAGGCATCAATGGCGATCTTGTGAACCTGTAAGACTTCATCTTGCTCAGGCATTATCTTGTATACTAACTGTTCCTTCAGACAACCCTCACTCTGGGCTCTTACCGCCATCCATCTCGTATTCGACGACTCCCGTGCGCGCCTTCCGCAGTCCAAGGGCGGTCTCGGCTATGAACCCTTGTGGTCGACACGCGAAGGCCTATGCAAGCTCGTGGATGAGCACGTCAAGTCGGGAGGCCAGGGCGAGGAGCGGAGCAGGGCGGGTGGAGGCGTCAGTCTCGGTTTTGCGTCAAGCAAAGCGCAGAGGAGCGTGGGACGAGTCGTGGAGAAGGTCGATCCCATCGGAGTCGTCAATTGAAGGGCTCCGTGGGGAAGAGGGCTGTTGGTCGATGTTGATAGTGGTGTAGGCCGTGGCTTTGGCGATGGGAGTCACCGGGATGCTTGTTGTATTTTTTGGGTTTATGGACGACAGTCAGCAGTGCACATTGGCGCAGGCAAGAATGTTGAGCCTTCCTTATCACGAGACGTTCGTCGTCGCGGACCTCGTCAGGACGGTGGACATACTGTAGTCAGTACGAACCTACCGCTGGGCAGGATCTAATCTACTTCCCTCGCGTTCTGGGACGATTCCCTCAAAGGGAAATTCTGTCGACACGCTCGAGCTCGCTGACGTCCTCGTCTGAACACCTGCCTACATCGGCTTTCCGGTGCCCTCACGTCGTCGCGGCAGTACGGCGCGATGCGATCACTAAGCGATTTGGATAATGGTCAGACGTGCCGGACAACAGTCGGCTTTCGCTCATTTTTCGACATATGCGCTGTACCCGTGCCTCCGCCAAGAGGTCCGTAGCGCCGAATACATGCGTAGCGCATTCATCTGCAATCCTTTCGTGGGCAGGAATCGACCGTTATCGTATCGTTCACGACAATGTGCCACGCTGAAGCTACCCGAACACTGCCGTGCTCCGTATCCCCCAACATACCCCGCGTTTCTGCTTATTCCCCGCGTCGACTTCGGCATAAAGAAGCATAGCCATCATTCGAATCTCGCTCGATTTGTTATCCTTTCGTGGGCTTATCGAGCAGACAATATGGAGCGGACGCGCGATGGATGGCTCAACGCGGGGAAACCGCGTTTAAACAGACCCATACCCGAACTTCTTTCTCGTCCCGGTGGCTTTGGCGGCCTAGGAACGCTCTATCAGCGCGAAGGCCGACCTTTCCGTTCGGACGTCACTACGTGTGGATCGCCCGGCTGACTTCATGGGCCACGGAGGACGCTGCCTCTGGCGTTCTCAGCTTTTCTAGACGGGCACTTGCTAGAACGAGACATACCCTGCACATTATTCGCGAACGAGAGGCAATACCTGCACGTCGTCTATGCTCGCGAGCTCCGAGAATAGCACAGCAGCGCTATCGGAGCGCTCGAACCGTGATCTTCTCGCCGGAGCGGGAAGTCTTTTGCCACACCTTCGCGAAGCGCCGACCCGACGGCATAGCGTACTAGGCTATGATCCTGTTTGTTCGTGCCGGTGTCACGCGCCCGGTATCCCTTGTGTCAATGTTGGGCTATCCAATGAGCCGTTCTGTGTGCTTCATCTTCGAGATGTTCAGCGCAAGTGGATATGCCAGCTGGCGTCGAGATGTGACGAGCAGGTGGCTCGGACAGCTTCTGGCGCTCCGGAGCGCGAGAGCGTCGCTTGAAAGTCACCACAGATGGAGATGTGGTTGAACTCCAGCGGCCATGGACGACGAAGTGTCATGAAGTTCAATCGTTAGCCACTTGCTGGGGTGGTAACCTGGAGACTTCAGACTTTGCCTGTTGACTGTGGTGCACCTGACCGGCGAGATAGAAGTCCGCTCAGAGAGCGCCATCAGGCTATTACATCGTCCCGCCGTCGTACTCTACTCGGCCAGCGGGTCTAGTACGGTTCAACATCGGTAGCTGCCTCCTCGGCCAGCGGGACTGCACGAAGACGTCTAGGGATTCCCCGAGCAGGTCACAAGTGGAGATTCAACGCCAGATGCGCCAGTGGTCTTGCTCCGTCCACGAGTGCTGTAGGGCAGATGCACTGGAGAAGCAGGTGGTATAAGTACTGCAGGTCGACGACGACAATCGACATCGGTTCTCCGACACCCGGCCTACACCGTCTACGGCATCTCCAGCAGCAATGTTCCCCGCCGCAGCTCTTTACACCTTCTCGCTCCTCGCTGTGGCCTACGCCCAGCAGCCCGGTACCCTCACAGCTGAGGTTCACCCGAAGCTGTCGACCAAGACCTGCTCGGCTGGCGGCTCTTGCACAACCAACCAGAACACGGTCGTCTTGGTACGCGCCTCAGTCTCTGTGCGGTCTAGTACAGGACTAACATCTCCTCGCTATGCAGGACGCTAACTGGCGCTGGACCCACGCAACCTCGAGCGCGACGAACTGCTACACCGGTAACACCTGGGATGCCACGCTCTGCCCCGACGACGTCACATGCGCGGCCAACTGCGCGCTCGACGGCGCCGACTACGAGGGCACTTACGGTATCACAGCCTCCGGCGACTCGCTCACGCTCAAGTTCGTCACCCAGTCCGCCCAGAAGAACGTCGGCTCGCGCGTTTACCTGATGGATACCTCGGACTCCAAATACGAGGCGTTCAACCTCAAGAACCAGGAGTTCACGTTCACGGTCGACATGTCCCAGCTCCCCTGCGGTCTTAACGGCGCGCTCTACTTCTCGCAGATGGACGCCGACGGTGGCCAGGCTCGCTTCCCGACCAACAAGGCTGGCACCAAGTTCGGTACCGGTTACTGCGACTCGCAGTGCCCCCAGGACATCAAGTTCATCAGCGGCAAGGTAAGCCATCACTACATGCAGTCATAGCCGCAGTACTCACACGCACCTCCCCCTTAGGCTAACGTCGAGGGATGGGCGGCTGCTTCCAACAGCGCGAACACCGGTACCGGCGGCACCGGCACTTGCTGCACGGAGATGGACATCTGGGAGGGTAACTCCATGGGCGAGGCCTTCACCCCACACGTCTGCTCCGTCACTCAGCAGACTGCCTGCACTGGCGACGACTGCGGTAACGGCGCCGACAACCGCTACGACGCTTTCTGCGACAAGGACGGGTGCGACTTCAACTCCTTCCGCATGGGCGACAAGTCCTTCCTCGGCCCCGGTCTCACCGTCGACACCACCAAGCCCATCACCGTCGTCACCCAGTTCATCACTTCCGACGGCACCCAGGCCGGGGATCTCACCGAGATCCGCCGCGTCTACGTCCAGAACGGCAAGGTCATCCCCAACTCGAACTCGACCATTGCCGGCGTCAGCGGCAACTCGATCACCGACTCGTTCTGCGAGGCTCAGAAGACGACCTTCGGCGATGAGAACCAGGTACGCTCGCTCACGCACACTGTAGCACACTCCATGTACTCACCAATTCTCTCATAGTTCGCTGCCAAGGGCGGCTTGAAGGCCATGGGTGATGCCTTCGAGAAGGGTATGGTCCTCGTCCTCTCGCTCTGGGACGACTACGCCGTCAACATGCTCTGGCTCGACTCTGACTACCCGACCACCGCCCCGGCCACCCAGCCCGGTATCGCGCGCGGCAACTGCTCGACCACCTCCGGTGTTCCCGCCACGATCGAGTCCAGCAACGCCAACGCCCAGGTCATCTACTCGGACATCCGCGTCGGCCCCATCGGCTCGACCTTCAGCGGCTCTGGCTCGACTTCGCCCGCTCCCTCCAGCTCGGCCTCTGCTCCCGCTACCTCGCCCACCACGCCCGCTGGTGGATCGCCCTCCAGCGGCCAGGCTGCGCACTACGCCCAGTGCGGCGGTATTGGGTTCACTGGCCCGACTACTTGTGTCGCGCCCTTCACTTGCACTGTCTCCAACGGTAAGCACTTGATCTCTCGCATATGCATTTGGCACTACACTGACGCGCTCGACAGCTTACTACTCTCAGTGCTTGTAAGCGGCTCGCGGGTAGATGAGCCTGTAGACGCATCATTTCTCACTGGCGTCCTCGGCTGTAAAATTCCATCGGCTTCGAGTGGCTGCAAAAATATTCCCTCGTTGAATGTATATACCTCCCCTTCCTTATACACCGATTCTGCTCTCTTCATCTCTGCGTGACAAAGTCGAGTTTGCGTGTCCTTTTGGCTCTCAAGGGCCGTATTGCGCCAATTCCGGGGTCTTCTTGAGCGCTGCTCAGTGGGTGGCGCAAATGTGCGAATATGAAGCCACGAGGCTTGGGCGGCGTCGTTGCGACGGACAACTGCTATAGAGTTCATGTACATCTTCTTCCTGACCATCACCAGCCACCAGCCCCACGTCCGTCGAGAATGAGCTACCAGCAGAAGTACCGCCCAGGGGACCCCAACAACTCTCATGACCCCGCGGCTATAACTTCGGGCGACCACCAACGAGACGTTGCTGCCGCACAGCAGCGCATGATGAACGACCCCGCGATGGGTAGTCTAATGCAACAGATGATGAGCGACCCGTCCAAGATGGAGGCGTTTGTGAAGATGATGAAGGACGACATGGAAGACGCAAAAGCGCGCGGTGAGACTATGGAGGAACGAGTGATGAGAGAGAAACGCGAGTTCGCGCAGGATGATGCTGTCAGCGAAAGACTGAAACTTAAGGTAAGCTGGGCTCCTAGGTAATACGTGGAGTTAGTATCTCTGACTGGACGTACAGGGAAATGAGGCGATGCGTTTGGGAGACGTGAAGCTCGCTTTCACTTACTACAAATCTTGCACGCTCAAAAGCGCACACGAGCCTGTTTACTGGCTCAACCTTTCCGCTGCATGCCTGAAGCTGAAGATGTAGATGGTGCCCTTGCAACGATATCATACATACCGGCTTACATGCTCATACAGGTACGAATGGGCTGGAAAGACTGCTCATGCGGCTATAGACCGTGACGGCAGCAAACCCGGGCCACCAAAGGCCTTGTTTCGACGCGCTCTAGCGCGTCGGTTCCTAAGCCACCTCCCGGAAGCAGAGAAAGGTGGGTTCTCGGTATGCCTGTTCATGAGCACACAAGACTGATGCTCGTCGCGCAGATATACAGGATGCTCTCGCTCAGCTGCCGCAGGACGCCGCGATTCAGAAGGAGCGCGATGAGATACATGCGTTGCAGGCGAAGTCGCCTGAAGAGCTTCAGCAATGGCTCCAGGACAACCCAAACCAGACATTGAAGGACGTATTCGGAGTTGAGAACGAGGTTGAGTTCAACAAAATCGCAGAAGAGTTACGCGAAAAGGAAGCGAGATCAGTCTAGTCTCAGTCACATTGATGCAATGCACTATTGTACAGTACGAGAATGCGATGCAGTATACGAAGTATTGGTATCACGAAGCAAGATCGGAGAGCGCTACAGCAAATGGAGTTTCATGCTCGTCACTAGCGGGAGATGGATGAGCGGCTTCGTCGTCGCAACAGAGTTCGGAGAAGTCGGACGAGACGCGACCAGAGCGCGAGGGTCACAGATATTGGAGGGAAAGGGCCACGTTCTCCATTGGGAATAGCAGCGCTGACATAAAAGGGAGAACAGCTACTGCATTATATCGTACTCCTTTGTGCGTGAACAAGATCAGGGAAAAGAGCAACGTGTGAACTGCCAGTTGGATTGAACGTGATCGGCAAACGCCGAACCTCACGTGCACTCTCAGGAGAGGCGTGCGAAACTATACGCGCCGGCGCGCCGTTCCGCTCGGTGCAATCGACGACGAGCTCAAGCCCGCCCTCAACCTCCCCGTCAAAATGGTCAACGTCCCCAAGTGCGTATAGCCCTGCATCAAATATATGGGGAAATGCTGATCGTATGATGTAGGACCCGCCGGACCTGTGAGTTGGGCTGAGATGTGAAGTTTTGAAGGAAATATTGACTGAGGACGGTAGACTGCGCAAGCAAGCAGTGCAGGAAGCACACGTACGTCGTATATTATATTGAGGGTCTACAATATACTTATATTCGAATAGACCGCACAAGGTGACGCAGTACAAGAAGGGCAAGGACTCGCTCTCCGCCCAGGGCAAGCGCCGTTACGACCGCAAGCAGTCTGGTTACGGTGGTCAGACCAAGCCCGTCTTCCACAAGAAGGCAAAGACGACAAAGAAGGTCGTTCTCCGCCTCGAGTGCACCGTCTGCAAGTACAAGATGCAGATGTCTCTCAAGCGCTGCAAGCAGTGCGTATATTTGACTTTATCATGTATCTATTCCTTATTCAATTCAATCTACAGCTTCGAGCTCGGTGGTGAGAAGAAGACCAAGGGCGCGGCCCTCACTTTCGTACGTCGTCTTAATGCGTTACTCGAACGTGATCTGACTTGCCTTGCAGTAATTGGCTCGCATCTGTCCCCGCTGTATTCTTCCTGCTCTCGCTCTTCTTCGCCATCCATGTACCGAGTCCCGTATGATATGCACCCCATCATGCAAACATGCCATACACCCGGATGTATCATAGCCTGAAGATATCGTGTGCGTGGGAGAGGCATGATCTGCAAGACAAGCGAAGTACGAGGATGGTATGTCCGGGGGAGGGTGAACAGATATCGAGGGTATTGATGTCGGTGCCCATGATGTCGCGGCAATTCCACTGGATGTCGTGCAGTGGCATCCCCTCTGACCTGGCATCCGTCGTCTGTGTTATAAGACACGAGGATGGCACGCCAAGCTTATCGATGTGGTTGTGCTTCCGCAGCTCACGTCGCGCTCAGCCAGATCTGGACAGGCCCATTGCGCTAGAGGTGGTTCCGATAGTCTGAGTGGTTGTCGCTAAGCGCTTACGCCCTCGTGGCCATTCATCTGGCAGGATATAAAGGAAGAAGCTTCCGCGCCGCACCTGCAACTTTACCCTCCGCCTCCTTTCTGCAGCTTCCTTTGTTGCTGCACAGACTACCCCGCAATTTATCCATCTCCTCCGCACTCACCACTATCTACACTTCTGATCAATGTCGTCCGCCACTGCCAAGGATCGCGAAGCACTCGCAAGCGAGAGAAGTTCGACGCCGAAGCGTCTTCCCGAGGATCTCTTCGCGTGGGAGAAACCACTGAAGGTCTGTTCGCTTGCATCATCCATGAGCGCCCTCTCTCAATGACGCCCGTCGATTTTAGCCCGCAAAGCGCGCTCGCGTCACACCTACCGACGACGAACCACCCCAGTCATTCAGTGGGCCCTCTTTCCAGCTCACCAGTCGCGACGACCCACCAGACGTCGATATGCATTCCGACGCCGAATCTGACTCGGACGCGTCGGAAGATAACTTGAATGATGACTCGAACTACTACGTGCATAACCAGGACACGCATGCAGCAGCCAAGGATGGGAAGGCCGCGAAGATTCTGGGGGCGGACTTGCCGTCGGCTGGGGACAAGTATGGTTGGGTTGAAGAATTGTTTATCACGGAGAATGTTGATGGGGAAGGGAAAAGAGGCAAGGAAGAGTTTGATCAGCTCGTTATTGAGCTGGATAGTTCGGATGAGGAGGCTATTGGGATCTTGACTTGTGCTACTTCTACAATGACTATCTAGCCCGGGCCAGTGGGTTGCTTTTGATGTTGAGATGCATTGCTATCTTTAATTCCTATGCGACTCCCAGGAATAAAAACGAGACGATCTTCGGGTTGCGAGTATGATGCATATCGCTACATATACGGTATGAAGTCAGATTCTGTAGTAATGGCGGCCTATGCCTTGGATCGTCGCAAGAACCATGAGGGTTTGGCGTCTGAGGCCACTCACTTGCTTCCTATATCAGCAAGGATGTTAGCAAGCCGACAAAGGGATACTCTTTCCTTTTATGGCCTGGGAAGCACCAGCCCGGGCTCGTCAGCTGTCGGCAGCGACATCTTCTCCGCATCTGGATGGCGCGCTGGTATATAAGAGTGCACGTCGCCTCCACATTCGCTCATCGACGCGCATCCTGGCAGATCAAAGTAGCGACATGTCTGCTGATCTCAAATGGCGTCCCGGTGACGAGAACAACCCGTACGACCCAGCATGTATGAGCGAATGCGAGATCGCCGACGCGATCAGGTCCTACGAACGCGGCCGCCACGATCCTTTCATGGTACAGCATGTGCACGATCTCGTCCACGACCCAGTTGCGCGCAAGGACTATGAGGAGTATCTTGCGGCAGAGATGAAGGATGCGGCGGAACGCCGAGAGACTATGCACGAGCGGATGAGGCGTGAGAAGAGCGAGTGGGCGGCCAGCGACGCGTTGAGTCTAAAGCTCAAGAACAAAGTGAGATATTCTTCTTCGCGTGGAGCATGTTCGCAGGATCGCTGACGATAGCCACTTGCAGGGAAACGAAGCCTTGAAGGCAGGAGACGTGAAGAAGGCGTGGTTCATGTACTCCCTTGCACTCGAGAAGAGCTCCCACGAGCCCGCGTATCACCTGAACCGTGCCGCCGCGGCCATTCAACTCGGATTGTAGGTTTTTATATATGCACGTCCCGAAACAGCGAGTCCTGATATCACTTGGCTCAGGTATGCATATGCAGAGCAGGATGCGACGCAAGCTTTGAAGGCCGACGGCGATCAGGGACTATCGTACACCACCCGCTTCACTCCCAAAGCGTACTTTCGTAGAGCGCAAGCGCGGAGGTACATGGGCGCTCTTGACGACGCAGAGCAAGGTATGCCAATGATGTCTCTACAGCCTCTATCGGCGCGCAAATCCAGATATCTGACATCTGACACGCAGACATCGTTATGGCGCTCAAGATGTTGCCGGACGACACCGCTCTTGCCAAGGAGCAGCAAGTCATCTGCGAGTTGCATCGCATGACGCCCGATGAGCTTAGAGAATATCAGAAACAAGCCGCAGTGCGAAGCTCTGACGAGGCTTTCCAAGAGGTTATTGGGTATACAATAGAGGAGATCGACGGAGTCTTGGTCGGTATGAGAGAGCAAGCGAAGCAGGAGGACATGTTGAATCCGGAATGACACTGACGACCATGTGCGATGTTGCATCGTAGCGTAGGATATCGAAGTTCATCTTAGGCAGAGTACTGTACCACCGTTGGTGGCGGTTCGGAGCAGAAACAACCCTCAATCGCGTTGGTCGGAATGTGCCGGCCCGAGTTCACCTTGTTTCGCACGCTGTCGACGCTGCCCAGACTCCAGTCTCACGAGAGAATCGGCGTACTAATGCACTATTCACTTCTTGAAGGCTACTTAGATAAAGGCCGCGACTACGAATGTCCCTTACTTGGACATATGTGATCTGGACCTTCCGAAAGCCTCGCACTTGCTCACTCGTTCACGCGTTCAAGTTGTGGCAACACAGACTATGATCGTACAACCGACAAGCTATAGGTAGCTCGCGGTATAATAAAAATACACAGGTGGGCGGATTAGAGGAGAGGGGGGTTTCGCGGAGGGTAGAGGAGGGGGACATCGCCGTCGTAACGTACACAATATGATACAAGTCCGACCAGAGCAGACGGCATCACCTGGACCCATGTCCGGGGCGTGCAAACGGAAGACAAAGCCGAACAACAACTACCCAGCGTGCGCCCACCGGTGTACCACGCTGCAAACGTCCCCAAGCCACATCGTACAACGCGCAAGGCGTGAGGCATGACTCCGAGCTGGTCGGAGGCAGCAAGTTTTGGGGTTATCATGATTTTTTTGGATTATCTTGTTTTCAACTTCTATGCGTGCATGGAATCGGTGCGCAGCGGCGGTGATCCAGCAGAAGTGGTGTGCGAGGTGTGCGGAGCGAGTGCGAGGTTGATGCGGCAGCGCGTACTTGCGATGTGGCCCGTGTAGATGATCGGCGGCCAGCCATGCGTAGCGTGCTTTTGAAAGTCGATGTCCCTCGGTGCTCCCCGTAGAATGCTCCTTCTCCCCTCTCCCCCAGCACCATACGCCCACCGGCGCCTTCCACACTTTCCCAACCTCCACCCCAAAGTTCCAATCCGGATCCGCGTCGCGACCACATCGTTGGGTAGTGATAAAAAGCGACTGGTAGGTGCCGCGCGTATATGATCAGGCGTATCGCATAATGTCGAACCATCATTGCCCTCTCGGAGGTATATGTCGGCGATGCAACAAACGTCAAGGGCGTCCCCCCAACGTCCGTGCACCGGAGTCCAGTCTGAGCGACGAGTACACGATGTATACCGAGGGCGTCCCCCCGATATACACCGCGCATCGAAGTCAAAAAGGACTGTAACCCGACGCGACGATCCCAAGTCCGTCAGAAACGCATGCTGTGGCCACAACATACGCCCGTCGAGAGCAAGAGGGACCATACCGAGAGGGTGACGGGACAAGCGAGCGTGTTCTGATCAGCGGCGCAGCGATGATGAAAGTGCGAACGATGTGGGATTACGCGTTCTCCGGGCGGACGGGTTCCTTGAGGTCTTGGTTGGCGAGAGGTGTGGCCTGTGGCGTTGGCGGTGGGCGTATAGCGGTGCGTCATTCAGACGACACCCGGCACAGCCGGGCGCGCCTGAGGGACGGGGAGGCGCGAAGTGCGCACGGGGATGGCAGAGCGCGGCTTGGCTACCGGAGCCGAAGTCGCGGGGAGCGAGATGGGACGAGACGAAGCCGCCGGCTGAGGAAGAGCGCTGGGCCGGCGGATCGCACGCTTCTTGGGCGAGACTGGCGCAGTGACGGGCGCAGCAGGTGCAGGGATGAACGCTGGACGCGGCATGCGACTCGTGAAAGCAGGAGCACGAAGACGAGAGGCTGGAGGCTGGCTCGGTGCAGGCGTAACGACGGGTGCAGGCTCGGGAACGGGAGCCTCGACAACGGGAGTAGGGGCCGTGACGACAGGAGTAGGAGCCTCAACGATGGGAGCGGGAGCCTCGACGATGGGAGCAGGAATCTCAACGTGGACGGGCGCCACGACGGGCGCCTTGGGAGCGTTCCTGAGCGCCTTGGGAGCGTTCCTGAGCGCCTTCTTCTCCTTCTTGAACAGTTCCTTCGCAACACCCTTCTTATCCTTCTGAGCGGGAGCGGCGGTAGATTTGCGCGGGGCCCGGACCTTACGAGCGCGACGGAGCTTGGGCTCGGGGGTGCAGGGCGGGAGAAGCTCCGGGAAACGAACACTACCGTGCACGATGCGCTCGTTGGCCTCGATGTCCTTGCGAGACCAGCCGCGGCCGTAAGGGAACGGAAGCTTGGCGACGGCCGGCTCAGAGACGGGCTTAGGATCGTACTAGAGATGAATGTCAGTCATCACGCTGAAACGAAGACGCAAACAAGGACGTACACCGAAGGGAGGCTGCACATCAACTTCCGACTTGCGCTCGGCGAACCACTTGTGGATGGTCTCGCTCGAGGGAACGGGCGTCTAAGGTGATGTCAGACGATGATAAGAAAAAGAGCGCTGATGATCACGTACAGGCTTGGTAGGCTTGACATCGGGTGCGACCCAGAAGAAAGCAGTGGCAGACATGAGCTCGTCGAGGATCTTCCCGGCATCGTTAACGATCCTGATGTCCGGAACGCCGACGTCGATGTCGTCCTCGCGAGGCATGATGAACGAAGCCTGCGCGAAGTACGCGTCGTCGTGGCGCGAGCGGGTCTGCTCATGAAGGCTGTCGGGGTAGTCGCACTCTACAAGTACGGATGAGTGACATGGGAAGTTAAAATGGAGGATTGGCACATACCGAGGAGCTCAAGGCGAGCGTTGTCGGCGTCGAGGAAACCGCTGGGGGTCCACACTACGATGTGTCAGTAAGAATTAATATTAATGATCAAGATGAGAACGAGTGACGCACGACGACCAAAGCCCGGAGCGCTCTCGGGAACCGCAGCAGCGACCCAGTGGTGAAGGATCTCAGAACGGAACTCGTCGACAACCTTGTCCTGGGGGCTGAGGACGGCGATGCTCGGGGTCTCAACAAGCACATCGCCGTCCTGGGGAGCGCAGTCCAAGTCGATGTCCAGGAGGAGCTCGACCTCGTCGTCCTCCTGCGCAGCCTTAGTAACCTCGTCAAGGGTACCGTAGCTGGGGAGCGGGTTGGCTGAAGATCTATCAGTGAGGTGAAGCGCGTAAAATGTCGAAGCAACTCACCATCGGGGTAGGCCGGAGGAGCAGTGAGGAATCCGGTAGGAAGCCAGACTGCGAGAGATGTGTAAGCGATGGATCGTAGTAACAACCTCTGTATACGCACTGGGAGTGTTCGCCTCCTTGGCAGCCTCCTCGTTGATGATGGCGTGGTAACGCACAGTGGACTCGAAACGGTCGGTAACGCGGCCGGTGGGTGCAAGCAGACGGATGCTGGGCGTAGGGACGAGGACCTCATCATCGGCGGGTGCGTCGATGGAGATGCTAAGAAGGTCCTCGCACTCGTCGTCCGAGTCGAAGTCGTCGATGCTGGAGTGCGTCGCCTGGAGGAAGGTCTCCTTGGGAAGGTAGAGGCGACGGGCTATGGCATAATGAGTGAAAGAAAGATAGGAGGATGGCAAGATACTCACCAGGCTGGTCCACGTTCGTCGCGCTCAGCAAGCCGGCACTGGTGTAGACTATGATTGCGTTAGCAGTGGCAAGAAGTGATGAGCGTGCGCGACATACCCGAAGAGGCCTTGCGCGCCGCGGGCTTGACCACGGGCTTGGGCGCATCGAGCGCAGAAGCGTTGGTCACGTTGCCAAGAGGGCGCCTTGGGAGAGCACTGGACTTGACCACAGGTGCACTTCGTCCGGCGTTCTCATCGTTGACGATGCGCGAGGGCAGCTTGGAGCCGCGATTCGGAAGCCGGGAGGCACGGACAGGAAGGTTGGAAGCGGGCATTTCGAGAGATATCGGAGACGTTGGTGCAAAGAGTTGCTGTGATGCAATCACGGCGATGTTGGATAATGAGCTGCGACGCGTAGGCGGAGCTGGATGTGGGCCGGGCACTGGTGTTGATAAGAGTTGTAGCTGCGGCTGGTAGGCGGAGCTGGTTGCTGAATGTAGTAGATGCGCTGCAAATGTGTGGAATGTGTAAAAGGCTCTGAAGGCTGGGGGGTAGGCAGAAGAATGTACGAAGTAAAGGTGCACTGGCTGAACTGGGCAATTAGAGGAGAGATATATACCATATAGCTCGTTGTCTTGGACTGAGGCAGGCGGATGGTCAGGCCTGAGCAGAACGAGGCTGGCTACATACGGCCGCGCGCGTCGTTCCCCCAAGGTACTACAGACCAGAGATCCTACAGAGCCGCCGACGAGTGCGCGGAGTCCCAGTTTATACTCACAGCCACACTACCTGGAGTTGATATATGAAGTACCGACACGCTGCAGGTGGCCTGGAGGCAGCCATCCACCTTGAGTTACTGGACTGGGCCAACTGTCTTGTCCTAGCGACTGACGCGTCTGAGACATGACTTGACGAGAGAGCTCGGCCAGAAGCGTAGCAACACAAGTCTTGGGTAGAAGGAAAGATATATTTGGGCATGCAGCAGCAATTGAGCATCATGCATCATGGCGAGAGGGCAGCGCCAGCCGTGGAGGTCGGAGGCAAGGCGCGAACGGCATGGCCTGTCGGCGATAAGCGGACCGCGTGGCTTGATAAGCGCTCATAGGCCCGGACTCAACGGCATCGTCACTGGCTGCGAATGCCGGCCATTCATACGTCTCTGTGTATATATCCGGACGCACCCTCTGCTTGCATGCATGAGGGAATCTCCTCAGACAAGCGTCAAGTAGCGCATATGCGCTCAGCAGGTCATACCTGCCAGTGGCACGCTAGTACGTAGTATGAGCCAAGGTGTAGAGCTCGAGCAAGATGCAGAAGTCGAGCAAAATCAAGATACAATGAGACCGTACACATTTTTACACAACATAACGACGATATCAGAAAGAACGGGTGCCCCAAACTAGTTACAAATGACGAAGGTGCTATGCTGCGGTCTGCATGCGCGTATCCTGAGGAGACGGCGAAGGGCCCTTATCCTTCTTCTTCACCAGCTTGACGCCCTTCAGGGTAGGCGCCGGTCTCTTGCTCGGGACCGAGCTCGTCGAGACCGAGATTGGCGCCGCCGACATCTTCGTTTTCACGGGTGGGTGTTTGAAGAGAGCAGAGCTGGACGTCGTTGTTGGTGACGGCTTATGGCTGATGGGAGTCGACGGTTTGCTGCCTGGAGCGGATGTGGAAGACTTGGACCCTGGCGGCAAAGGCGAGCGCTTGATATGCGGCGAAGCCGGTAGCGACGACGTGGCAGTCGTGGTCTTCGGAGCCGGCAATGTCGAATGGGGCAATGCGGCCATGGCAGCTGCGAGTGTAGGCTTTGCCGGTAGAGGATGCTCAAGTGGTGGTGTGACGAGTTCTGCGCTATCGTCGCGCTCCAATTGCTTCAACTTTGCCTCCAAAGCCGATATAGCATCGCGATTTCTGAACTCAAGTCAATACATATGATCTACGCGAGTTGGGACAATCGCTGACCTGGGCGCACTGGCGCTCTTGATCAGACTGAGTGTGGTCGGTCGGCCTGCCTCGTTCACTATTCTTCGAGGTAGTGATCCAGCAGCATCCATAGGCGCCTGGTTCGCATGTGTGACGACAAGCTTGCGTCCGCGCAAGAGTTTCCCGTGCGCCGCTGCTAACGCCGTGGTGGCATCCTACATTGCATGTTCAGTGACGACGCCTCCAAAGGAGCGCTATCCCCGGGTCTGATGATTGACGTGGTGTTCGAAAATACGTCGGACACGTTGAAGCACGTTGAGAGTACATGTAATAGACCCGGGGTGAGCGCCGTGGAAAATACAATAGATTAAGGACTTACGTCTGAGTTGGCATACTCGATGAATGCATAGCCACGCGGTTTCCCCTTCATTGTTCCGGTCTTGTGGTATAAGAAGTCGAGCTGCGACATCTTGCCGTACTTCGAGAATATTTGGATCAGTGTGTGTCTGGTAACTTTGTGAGCAAGAAATACGCAAGTGCGTGCGTACACACGTACTCGGTGACTGCAGGGTGCAAATTCCCGATATACAGCCGTTCGGGCACGACCTCTCTGGACTTGACTTGAGATGGCTTGTTCGACGACGTTGAGGCCTCTGCATCATATGTTGGGTATGAGAGGAGTGCGTTTGTGCTGGTCGACGGCATAGATTGGGTCGATTCATTCGGTGAAGATGCCATAGAGGTGATGGTGATGGTTCGGGTCGAAGTAGCTCGTGAGCTTGGGTGCGCGACGCGTCGCGTGAATATCGGGCCTGCACCACCACTGTCGTGTTATTCAGTTCCGGTATCTAGCCCTTCGCACCGTCGTTTGCAGACAATATTTCCTTGCTATGTAGCATGTCCACTCAACACCAGATTCCCAGTGTTCGTCTAGCGTGCAGGCTGCAATACATGTATCTGTGATCAATTGACTTATCCCGAGCGAATACCTCTGATCTGGATATATGAACAATCGTCGCTGATAGCACGTTATGGGTGGCTATGAACAACGTCATCTCACTTTGTGCTGATTCAGAGAGCATAACTTGACAGCCGATAGATGACATACAGATTCCAGTGAGGCATTTCGTCCAGGTCACGCTCAACGAAACTGCTGACAGGACGAAGGGAAGCCTGTCAACATCCCAAAATGGCCCACGCGGCTCGGCGGTCACACACTTTCGGCGACGGTTGTTTCGGCGACAGCTTCTATCCCGGCGACGATTGCGGTCGGCGAAAGCGGGCGGTTCTACGCAGAGCGCGACCTTCCGATAGCCTCGTATTCTCCCTTCACTTGCGAGCGCTGCAGCTGATAGTGTTTTGCATACTTTGGTACCGTCGAGGTGCAGAGACACGGCTACCCTCATACGCGTGTGGTGCCTGATGGATACACCCAAGTGAGTTGCTGGCAGGCATTCCTTTCGGGCAGTCATTCGATCCCCGCATGAACTGGCGTCGACTGAGGTTCCACAGCCGGCGCGCCCAGCACGCGTATGGGTGCCAATGCTGGTGGATCGTACTATCCCAATCTGGGTGGCGCAAAGGGCCATATAAGCCGAAGTGCTGAAATCGCTACTCAACTCGCTTTTCAGCTCAAGTCGACCATTCACGTGCGCCATGTGCCAGCCCACCAACCTTCCCGTCGACCAGCGTACTCTGTCGCTCCCGCCTCCTGCAGTCTATGCCAAGTTTCTCCAAGACGCCCAAACCCGTATCATCCGCCTCGAGCAACTTGTCAATACCATTGTTCCAGTAACGCGCACGCTTGTGGAGAACGCTTCACGCCAACCTGCACCTTGCGAAAAGTTCGACCGGTTGGTTGCCGGCGCAATCTGCCTGCGCGCACGCGGTCAGACAGTTGAGAACGCTATGCAGACCATAAATGGCGTATGTATGCGCCTCTCATCTACCGAGGGACGTGTCTTACTGTATGAGCAAGGCACACGGATTCTCCGCTGGTCAATGGGGGATGTATTTCCTCAGCCGTATGGAGATCATCCAACCTTTCGTTGAAGCGGTGCTACGTCCTCACTCTGCGGTCACTTCTGCGCCTCCTACGACGGCGACCGACGTTGGTCACAAGCGTCCGCGCACCGAGTAGGCGCTAACTGCCGCGTTTGACACAAATGAGGTACGCTCATGATATATGCGACCGGCTGGACTTAAGCTGACACGTCCGCTTCTCAGTCAGAGGATCACCTCTATGTAGTCTCTATGCCACGCACGGTTAATTGCCTCCCTGTGCTTCTCATGAAGAGCTTTGGCTAGCGGGCTAGCGATTTGGACTTGAGACCGGCTTGAAGCTCTTGTTCTGTATCATGTAGTGCCAGTGGCTGGTTGCATCCCGCTATGTATGCTTCTTGATGGATACTACTACCGGTCGATTGTCTGTGGAGCTTACTGTATACTTCAAACTTCGCACTGCGTCTAGCTAGCAGCGAGCGCGCCGTCCGAAGGATGGTCGGGATGTTGACGCGGCGGAGTGCGTCGCGACAGGTCGCGACGCGCTCAGTGACGTCACGCGTCCGCAACGCGCTGCAACCGATGCTCTGGATCGCTCTATTTGTGACTCTGTGAAGAGACCACCCGCGTCAATGGGCAGATATCGAACTAGGTACTGGCAAGGCTGAGTGTACCAGGTCTATGCTCTTCAACTGTATTGCCTCAGGATGCGGTCAGATGCCAAAAGTCTGTCCGGTCAAATGGCACTTCACGTGCGGTGATTCAAGACACCACCTGAGGAACTGGAAGACATGCACCGACGAGACTCCTCGTGGCGTCAACTTCAGCAAAAGATAAGCGCAAAGGCTTTACAAGCGTCGCGATGGCATGGATGCAAGTTCGCTCAGTCCTCGCGTCCACGCGCGGGACAGAACACCAAGTACTGTACATACCCGCAGACACCTGGTGTCTGACTTTCGCTCAACGTAACTCTACTCATTTTGTCACCGGCCTCTCCCACAACGTGTCGCATTGTTGCTCGTGTGCTGGTTTTCAAACCAAGTCGCTTGGAGATGTCCCCGTTGATCTGGTAGCATAAAGTCCAGAGCTGATGCACGGATGTCTCTAACGCCAGCGACTGACAAACAAGAAGACACATTTCAATCGAACTAGTATACCACGCCCCCAATCGAAGCTAGTCCCCTCCCTACACACTCCGCGCTACACGCTTCTTCTCAATCCGCGACCGTATCTCTATGTAAAGCAGTGCATGCGCGTCAGACGATGAGCGGGCAATATGGGCGATAAGCACGGACCTCGCTCATACCATCGCTGGTACATCCTGTCCCAGGCGCGTGCGGACCGGGTAGAAATCTTTCCCTTGTGCTTCTCGATGTAAGCGTCATAATTTGGTCAATAGGAAACTTCATCGTGACACACCAATTCCCGGAACCCTTCCCAATTACGGGCACCATGCTCATACACCCAATCGGCAAGAGCGTCGAGCTCCAGATCCGTGATCTGCCTTCTAAAACCTGAGCCTTGTGCTTGATCCTCATCGTCCTCGTCCTCAACACCGTCTTGCATCGTGCCACCGCCGGTTGTGTGGGTCGAGCGCGAGACTGCCATACGTTCGTCACGACCTTGTCCCGGGAATCCCTGGCACGTTCGTCAGATCAGCGTAAGACAGTCATAACGACATGAGCTTACCCTCGTGCTTGTCGCATCCTTAGATGAACCGCGCACAGACAAGATCTTGTCAGACGTCGAGACAGACACCAGGCCCTCTGAGCCGCGGACGCGCGAAACACTGCCGTCAAGGAGAGCATTGATGACATGCGAGTTTTTGAGGTAGAACTGTCTCCAGTCGTCGACGGGGTGGCCTTGGGCCTATACCATGCGAGTCAGCGAAATGTGTAGCACGCGTATCGTGGCGTTGCTTACGCTATCAAGGACGAGCAAAGCGTCATGGACGGATTTGTCGCCTCCGATGCGAAGTATCCCGGCGACAAGCCTCTGATTACCATCTGAAGACTCAATGTCCCTACCCACCAATTCTTCACCACTGATATCACCTATGAGCGGGAAATGGTTAGCACATCCGACGGCCCAAGGAGGCGCAGTAACTGGAGACTCACGATGGTATGGATCGAGCGGGAACTCGTGCGGATGTGGTTCGTCGCCGTCCAAGAAATCGGCCTCATGGCCGGTGTGTGTGCCGAAGGAGTTCATGAATGGCGAGCGGTGGTCGTAGCGTGGAGCAGGAAGTATATAGCCCGCATGGTGCATGTAGCCGACGGTGTTGCGATTGTGTGCAAGCTGAGGTGACCGGCGGGGGCCAGTCATACCAGGATTGAGGAGCTGACGCCTGACAGGGTACCGCTCTGATTCAAAAGAGTCGGAGGCATCCATGGGTGGAGAAGACCGTCAAGTGGTGCTTCACAACTGGCGGCCGGTGCGGACGACAAGTCTACCAAACTGACTACCACTCGCGCTTCGCGCTTTTCAATGAAGCGCCACCCATCATTGACAGCCACGAAACCGGAGGTTATCAAGCCTATAGCGCTCAAGCTCGTGGACCAGGATAGCGTTGCTGAGAAGGGTCCGTTTGGTGCCTCCGTAGTAAGGGATTCTCTCCGACCTCGTTACGAATTAGACGGCTTAATGAGCCCGTTAACGGATACAGACAGTGCAGATCACTATGAGGAAAGCTCACTAGAAGACGGAGACCTCAGGGCAAAGGGACATTCGCAGCCGAGTACAGATACCGAGGTCGCCGCCGCAAGTGATCTTCGCCTCGTAGTTCCAGAGAATGGGCTTGACCATTGTTGTTCGATGTGCCCGCGAAGCAAAGATGCGCTGACAGACATCTAGGTGGTCGGGCGAGGTCCCCAAAAACGCGAGCAAGTCTCGCGATCGTGAGTCGTATTCTGTCGTAGTATGCTAAACCATGTCGTGCTCATCGCCGACTGGCTCGAAGCAGTGCAAATGACTGAATCGATTCGGTCGTGCAGACTGAAACGCTAAGATGCGCCATGTGAACGTGAATCGAGCGAGTTCACTAGTTCAGGCCGCAGGCCTTCGTTCCTGACATATATGATCCATCGTTAAGAAGCCACGAAGACCGGCCCACTGTGTATTGAGTGTATTGGGTGCATTGAGTGTAGAAGCCTGTCCTGGGCATCCGACACTCCGTGCGCGTGCACCTCCGTCTTGTCCGCAGACGACGAGTAGACGGCGTCGACAATATCACGACCCTGAATGACAGCCTGTTCCGGAGACGGTCACTATTCCCTCGGTTAAGGCGTTGCGTAGCAGTGCTCACCAGTAGAGTCCGATGTCTACATTGAAGCTCTTCAGCCGATAGTTTGGAGTGATTGCAGGGCAATCGTAGGGTGGTGGTTCAATGTTCAAGTCGCGTCACCGGATTCGAACTTCGAAGGCCCGAACGCCATCAACCGTATATACACATACAAACACGCGCCCATAGAAGCACAACCTTGAACCGTGCCATGATGGCCTGATGCCACTGTCTGCCTCTCGGCTCTTGTGCATAGGTCCGTTCTTCACGTCATGATTTTTCGGCATCGGCTCCAACCTGCTCTAGCATCGAGCCGATTCTAGGAGTTTAGGCAGCCCAGAGCTTTTTCTTACGTGGCGAAGCCGCGTACCTCAAGATCATCTGGCGTATATATCTCGACTCTCGAGTGTGGTTGGGCGAAAGGAACTTGAGGCAGCGAAGATCAACGGTTTGCGAAAGGGAACTGACCACTGGTAACGCTGTAGGACGCAGGGGACCTGCGTCATTGTCGTCGTGCAGTTGGCCGAGGTCCGTCGATCCTTCGTGAGTCCATGCAGACTTGGTGATTTGCGTTGCTGAAACCTAAACTAGACACGGACCACACGCATACGGGTTCACGCGATCCCAGCGGACTGCAATATAGACGGATGGAATCAACCCGTTGCAAGCCGAGTCGGTCTACGTTCGGTCCTAGCCGTTCGAGAGTTCGCAGATGCGACATGAATTTATCCCAGTGATCGTTGCGCATACTCCGTCCTTTACGGATGCGTATTGGCTACGCCGAGCTCACGATTTCCGCTTCGCCGTTTCGCAATTAACCTTGCGGTCAACACGTCGCACCAATGAACACTCTAGTCCATCCAACCTTATCTCCCGGCGAACTCTCGCCAGGACACCTACGACATCCGACCGCAGGGCTCAGATACGCGGGTGCCGTCCGTGCGCCATATAAGCGGCGCTCGCCAGGAGCAGTTCAAGTCAGTTCCTAGAGAACTTCCGCACTATGCATCGTCCACTCTACTCCGGCGGCGGTTATCGCTCAATGGCGCATCCAGTTCGTCGTACATTCACCGAGTCACAACGTCAGTCGGCCAACTACGAAGGCTACACTATGGACCACACACGACCGATGACGTCTGCGGGGCGAACGCGGCTTACAGCTTCGGATCGTCTTCTCGATGTTGACGTCTCTCAACTGGATCGGATAGTTGCCGCTGTTCTTGCTTTTCGTGGTGACGCTGAACCTGGTCCCGCGCTGCAAGGCTTGGACGGCGTGAGTCGTGATATATCGGCGCAACGACTTCACGGTCTGATTGTACACAGGCCCTAAACAGGACGGGGTGGGAATGGACAGACCACTACCTCTCCCGAGCCAGTACAGTAGAGCCACTCATCGCGCAATACCAGCCCGTCACTTCCGTTGCGCCTTCGACGTCATCCGGACATTTCACACCAGATAAATCTCGTCGCGATCTTGCCCAAATAGGTCCTTCAACATCGAGGCTGAAGCGCAAGGCAGAGGCGTCCGTAGTTGAGGTTCGTCTTGCCACGACATCGCTCAGGATGCCTCACGTCTAACTTTCCCGTAGGTTGTTCTCCCTAGGTCCAAGCGCCCCGCAAAGGATATTACCTATGTGGATATCGAATCAGAAGTTGACACAGATACGGATGGTGACTTCAATGACCCTCAGCATGCAGCTCGGCGCGGCGGCCCTCGAACTTGTAACCCAGTGACGGTGGAAGACCGCCAGCAGATGGCAGAGTGGGTTTATACGCACGAAGAAGGATGGAGTGATGTGGGCCAGGATGCGCGTTGGAAAGGCTTTGAATTGGAGGTGAAGACCTATACGATGAAGGTTCTTTCCTTGCTCATATGGCTTGCACAGCACACACGCAGGACCTCCACAGGATGGGCGTCAGCGTACAAACGGTGGAAAAATGGTATGAGAATGTGGAAGGCTGACCGATGTCCAGTATGCTAACTGGTCATTCTTCAGATGTTGATTCTCGAGTGGATGAGTTGAAGAAAGAACGCAAGCGCACTCTGAAAGTGGAGGATTCGCTAGATCCGAATCAGTAAATGTCTACTTTGACCGCCTCTCAGTCATCGGAGATTGGATATGTAGAAGTTCTTGTCTTGATAAACTCGCGCTCGTGCGCGTTCTTCGCATGTTATTTAATATTGTCGCGGTGCCGTGTGTCATTGCGTATCCGCGCTAGAGCAGACGAAAGAACTCGTGCGATAACGGCTCAGCCCCATCTTACGCCAACGTCTCTACACTTGTAGTATCAAGTTCGCTTTGCCCAAAACACCGCAGCCTCAGGGTCCCGTGCCCACCGCTCACATCTCCTATGCCTCTGATCCGCCTTCTCCCTCGACACCAAAGCGCACTCCAGCGCCCAAGCGTCAGCCGCCTCTCTGGCCTGTTTGACAAATGCATCACGCATACCGAGTGCACCATAGCAGCGCGCGATCACTTCAAGTGTTTCGCTCTGGGCGCGAACAGACCTTCAGCGTCGAGGGCAGTCAAGGCGCGTACGTGTGCGAGTATGAGCGCGTCTCGCGGCTGGTCGTCATCCGCCAACCAGTTCTCGAACGACACGCTCTGTTCCCACCACTTCGACAGTTCGATCCGCGCCTGGTCGCTGCGTACACTGTCCGCCACTGGCAACATGCACGCCGGACAGGTACAATTGAAGCCGTACGATGAGCGCAAGATGAGCTGTCGTGCTACCCGCGGGCGCATCAACGGGACATATGCGATCGTGATCTCTTCGTCGGCGGCAATGGGTCGTCCGGCGCGCAAGGTCAGCGTAAAAGTCTTGCTGTCCCAGACGTAGGCTGCGTTAGGCGAGCAGCTGTGTCTGACTTGGCTTGCGATGAGGAAGAATGCAGTGTGCCCGACGATGCGTCCGTGCTCGCCGCGGAGCTCGATGCAGATGCCGCGCGTGCGGAGGATGTGCTCGGCGAGTGTGCGGCGCTTGCGGAGTGTCTTGTCGGTAGTGCCTTCGATGATCTGGCGGACATCCGGGTCCATGCGCTCGAAGATGGCGTCAAAGGGACTTGGCGTGAGCGACGGAAGAGCGAGCGGAAGGACGGATAGAGGGGGCTCTACGCTGATGAGAGCACCTGCGTCGAGATCGCATGAAGCAAAGACGCGCGTGCCGCTCAGGTTGCTAGCACGCTCGATGCGGAAGGGGAGACTTGGGACCGGGTCCATCGGAGGGAGCTTGACGGGTACGAGGGGAAGAGACTCGAGGACATCTTCCGCCAGGAGCGCGACGCACTTGGAGCGTCCATCGTCGAAGGGTATATCGTGCAGGATCAGGGCGTGCGCCCCGCAGGCCGCAAAGTCTTCCGTCAGTGACGGCGGCACGTAGTGCGATGCACACCAGAGCTTAAACTCCATTTCCGGCGTGTCGTCTACAAGAGATATAGAGGGCGATCTGCATAGAGGTGACGAGTGCTGAGGTGCGGATGCAGATCGTTCGGACAGTTGTACCGGCGTCACGGTCGTCGCGACGGGAGGGACGGGCGAGGACTGGGTTCGCAGAGGCGGTGTGCTGCTGCCTGCTTGGCGAGGATTCGACCAGTCGTATGAATACTGATCCAGTAGAACGGGTGAGCCGAGCCAGGCCATGGTAAACGAGTGTGGAAAGTGATAATGATGTGGGCTCGTAGACCGATAATAGCGGTAACGCTGTGGTGGACGCTGCCCAAGTCAGCAAACCCGGAGTCCTCACCATGACACGTTCGCATTCCATCTGTCAGAACCACGCGTGAAAGTCCAAATGTGTTAGATAAAGGGTATGGATGAAAGCATCAATGAAAGCAAGTAATGATACAATGGGATCCAAGATGTCCGTGAATGCAATCATCCAGAGTCATTACACAAAGCGTAACATTCGCATCTCAACAAGTCGGCAAGACAGAGCGCGCCCCTCATGCGTTGTGGTGCACGTTTGCGGTGTACGGCGTCGAGAAGGCGTACTGCGAGGTGTTGGGCTGCTTGTTGCCGTAGGGGTCGTACGGCGCCTCGTTGTAGTGGAACGCGTCGGAGCCGTAGGGCTTGAGCATGGGAACACCCGCCGCGCCGACAGGAACCGACTCGTACGCGGTCTCGTTGCGGAGCTGAGTAACGTACTCGTTGACCGAATGGAGCATCCAGATCCTGTGGAACACACGTCAGCTCTGAGCAAATTCTGTCTTCGACTCCGTCTCAGACGTACTGGAAGAACCAGTTGACACCGAAGCAAACGCAGCTGACAATGCGGAGCGTCTTGATTGAGCCGGTGCAGTTGACTTGGAAGTCCTCATCGCCGGTGTTGAACTGTTTGAGTTCGTCACACGAGTCGGCCTTGAAGATCTCGTAGAGGTAGTAACCGCCGGCTGCCATGCTGACAAGCAATTGCAGCAAAAGCATGTAGAAGAAGATCTGCACGAGGCGACGCTTGCGGCCGATTGCTCCAATCAATCTGTGAGAGAAGGCCGCTTAGTGAGCGAGGGCGCCCGCGAGGAGGAAACGAGGCGGAACGCACCCGAGTAGCGAGATGATGACGCTGGCGGTGTACACGCCCGCGACGACATATAGAATTGTTCTTTGTGTGCTGGTGAGGGTGAGGTCGTTGAAGTTGCTGTTGTGTAAATCTTCGAGGCTGATGCTGCCGATGTTGTCTGAAAGAGGCCTGTCAGACATGGAGCGCGGTGGAGGGTGCAGAGTACCAACCGGTGGTTTGTGAGAGCACGAACCAGGAGAACCCGGCTACGACAATGCTTGCGAGAAGGTAGATCCCGCTAAGCACAAACACCACGAAGCGTTGAGGAATGCAGCAGCAGCAGTATTCGCGGTACTGGGAACCCATCGTGAAGGGAATAGATACGGGTAAAGGGTCGTAAAAGGGATGAAGAGGGTGGAAGAGAAGCCCAAGGGCGGGGAATGAGAAAGATTGCGTTTCAGTCAGAACAGCGCCCTATATACACCCGACAGGTGGGTGGCAGTGAGGCGGTGACCCGGGTATATCGATTTGATCTAATGTCGGGGCGCTTAATTCCAACCCTGTGCGGCGCGAAATTGGGCCCAAAAGTTATCGATGCGTTATGCGCAGGCTCTTCGTGACGGCAGGCGGTGAAGGGCGTGCAGGAAGCATGGCATAGCCACGGTATACTAGTCTGCTGCGATACGTACACACCTCTAGATAGCTGTAGGGCGGTGCATTGTTCTTTCCCCGCGTTTTGCCGAGCTGGAACATGATTCAGACTAACTGATTCCGCTCGTTGGGCATGGTGGTTATATGAATACTAGTACACGGCTCTTCGCTTGATGAGTGACCAGCTCTGTAGTTTCGGTGGAAAATACAAAGTGGACTATGCCAAGGAATGAGGCGGTGGCTGCGGGAAGCAAGGGACGCGCGACAGAGCGCGGGATGCTGCGCGCGCCTCGGCGGTGGCGGCGCATACACGAAGCTTTTGGATTCCTTGCATGCTTCCTGAGGCATTCTCTTCCTCTGTGGGATGTGGAAGTATGCTTCTAGTCACACGTAACTGCGGTACAAGTATAGGGAAGGACAGGTAGCCCCTAGAGTTCACTGATATTATGTAACGCAACATCGGTGTATGTCGCCACAGCATGTCCCACCGACCACCCCTGCAGCAAGACTTGGACCATGATCGAGTTTACGGCTCCTATCATGGTCATATTATCAACTGATGAGCACTGGGATCCGGATAAGTATGACTTGTTGAGAGTCGACATCGAGGATCAAGCGTTTCGGAACGAGTCGGAAAACTGTCGAGTGCTCATGTACGCCCGTAGTCATGTAGAACCAGGTAGAGCCACCATGCACATCAGACTCGTAAACCGAAAACATTTTGTATGGATCCTCACAAGAACGGGTAGGCGATGAGCGATTCGTTCTCAGGCTGTCAATAGCATCACCGGTGTGTCCGGTGTCCCTAGCGCTCAGCGCTCAGCGCTAGCAGCACGTATCCATGTAGTCTGATCTCGCGAATGTCTCTGACGAGGAGTGACGGATATGCGCGCTAGGTACAAACGGTGAATTCGCTCTCAGAGAGCGCAAGTCCGAGCAGGTGGTGGCTCGCGTCAAAGTCATGTTGACGCGTTCCGAGCGCTCTCAGTCGCGTCGCGTCGCGACTTCGCCTTGACATTTGACCGCCATCATGTCGGACTCTCCCATGCCCAAACGCCGGCGCATCGTGCGCTCTCCGTCACCAGTCTACAAACTCGACGACGAGGACGATACTTATGAGCCCTATGTTCCCATTACCCAACGCAAACAAGCCAAACTGGCGAAATTATCCGCACTAGGTGCATCCTCAGAAGACACCCAACGAGTTGCTGCTAGACGAATACAGGAGGAGAGGGATGAGGCGGACGATGCTGAACGGGAGGCCGAGCGCGCGAAGGAGAAGGCGCGGATGGAGAGGACGCTGCTTGCAGAAGCGCAGGCAGTTCATGCTAAGAAAGTAGAAGAAGGTGTGTGGTCTTTATTATAAATATACTGTGGCGGGGGTATGACGGTGCAGATGCTAGGAAGACTGAGGCGGAGAAGGCAGAGGAGCGCGAGGAGCAGATATTGGCCGCTATTTCTAGGCAGAAGAAGTTAGCGGGAAGTAACGAGCTCGCGCATGGTATCCAATACACGGATTCATTGAAGACATCGTGAGTATTCTGTCTATACTGTGAACCCACTTGCCACGAATAACTCAGTCATGTACTAGATGGCGACCGCCGCGCTTTGTACGAGATCGTTCGCAGAACGAACATGAACGTATACGCGAGAAACAGCATATCCTTGTCGAAGGGTCCGACATTCCGCCACCAATCGAAACCTTCGCCGACATGAAGATTCCGAAACCACTTCTCGACTTCCTCAAGTCGAAACGCATCTTCTCGCCGACGCCTATCCAGGTTCAAGGTCTTCCCGTAGCATTCTCCGGACGCGACATGATCGGCATTGCTTTCACCGGGTCTGGCAAGACGCTCGCGTTTTGTTTACCGCTCATCATGCTTGCAATGGAAGAAGAAGCAAAGTTACCATTCATACGCGGCGAGGGACCCGTGGGCATCATCATATGTCCTTCGCGCGAGCTTGCGAACCAGACGTACGAGAACATCCTGCAGTGGACCGGCGCGTTGTCTGCTACGGGCGAATACCCGCGCCTGAACACACTTCTGTGCATTGGTGGCATCAGCATGTCCGACCAGAGCGGTGTACTCCAGCGAGGACTCCACATTGTTGTTGCTACGCCCGGTCGACTCATCGACATGCTCGAAAAACGACGCTTCACTCTCGACGGGTGCAAGTACCTGTGCATGGACGAGGCGGATCGTATGGTCGATCTGGGCTTCGAAGAGGACGTCCGAAATATCATGAGCTTTTTCAAGGCTCAGCGTCAAACGCTGCTTTTCTCTGCGACCATGCCGAGGAAAATTCAAGAGTTCGCTCAGCAGAGTTTGATCAAGCCAGTGCTCGTCAACGTCGGACGTGCCGGAGCGGCGAACTTGGATGTATTGCAGGTCGTGGAGTATGTGAAGCAGGAGGCGAAGATGGTGTATCTTCTCGAGTGCTTGCAGAAGACGGCGCCACCGGTCATCATCTTCAGCGACAATAAGAATGAGGTGGACGATATCCAGGAGTATCTATTGCTCAAGGGCGTCGAGGCAGTCGCCATCCACGGCTCGAAGTGTACGTGCCTCTGCTACTACTGAATGCATGTGGTCATGCTGACGGCCTTTCAGCGCAGGATGAGCGGCAGTATGCCATCAAGTCCTTCAAGTCCGGTCAGAAAGATGTTATGGTGGCCTCAGGTGTCGCTTCCAAAGGCCTCGACTTCCCCGACATTCAGCATGTCATCATCTTCTCCATGCCGAAGGAGATCGAGGACTACGTTCATCAAATCGGTACGTTTGTCCCCTCTCGCTCTCTTGTACAGTACGCTGAACAATGCGCTCCACAGGTCGTACGGGACGCTCAGGGAAGACGGGTATTGCAACGACATTCGTCAACGTCAATACGCCAGAACAGACCCTTCTCGATCTCAAGTACCTTCTTATGGAAGCCGGACAGAAGGTCCCGCCGTTCTTACAGAGCGTGGAGGATCCTCGTGTTGCACAGGGTGGATCCGTCAAGGGATGTCCGGTCTGCGGTGGTCTGGGACATGGTATCTCGACCTGTCCAAAGTTGGAGGAGGCCCAGAGGAGGACTATGGCGAGCCATCATGGGCAGGATACGGGTGGCTATTGAGCGGTCTGTACTACAGTACTCTCTGTTGTTCATATTGGCCACGCCCACTCGTGCATTCATTGGGCCATTGCACGCATTATTCTCGGACACCCAACGGAATTGCCACCTATGCATTGTAAAGGACGCTTCGGGCGAATATTGGTCTGCCCGAACTTCTTCACAAGCCTTTTACTCCGAATTCGCCCGGACTTGTTCATTAGCGCCCACGATTATACACGGCGCTTGCGACGCAACAGCTACCATGGCTTACGCAGCCAGGCTCGCCATCCTTGCTGTCTATGAACTTTGTTGGTCTCACGCGGCCTGACAAGTCTTTGCCAGTCAGATCTGACTATGATATCTTCGTCCGTATTGCGCGATGAGTATTCTGGACCTTTCTTGTCAGCAAGTGAATGAGACTCAACGATCTTGGATGATATAAAGAGGTTCTTCGAGAGCGCAATGTCTTCACCACACCTCGATAACCGATACTCGTACGCTTCAGCAATCTCAAGAATGTCCGCATCGCGCCTCTTCCAACCCGTCCAAGTCGGTCGCATGCAGCTCCAGCGCCGCCTCATACAGCCAGCTTTGACCCGTAACCGCGTCGACAAGACCACGCGTATCGTTGGGGACGACGTCGTACAGCACTACGCACTCCGTGCGACCGTGCCTGGAACCCTGCTCATCGCCGAGGCTACCTTCATGACACCACAAAGCGCTGCACTGCCCAATTGGCAGTACACCCCCGGAGCGTGGACGAGCGAGCAGGTAGCTGGATGGAAGAAGGTAACATCGCTGCACTGACTGGAGGGAACAGAAGCTCATTTGGCGTACCTCTAGGTCGTAGACGCAGTGCATGCTCGCCATTCCTTCATCTACCTCCAGCTGTGGGTTATAGGCCGCGAAGTCGACCCCGACATCCTAGCCGCACTCGACCCCTCCTACCCATACATATCGGCGTCCGGGATCCCTGTGGAAGGTCGCAGCCGCGCGCCACGCGCCATCACTCGCGAGGAGATCCAGGAGTACGTGCGCCAGTTTGCGCGAGTGGCCAAGACGGCTGTAGAAGACGCCGGCTTCGACGGTATAGAGGTTAATGCGGCTGGAGGTTATCTCCTGGACGAGTTTCACAAGGTGTTCTCGAACAGCCGGACGGATGAGTATGGTGGAAGTCCGGAGGGTCGCTCGAGGTTTACTTTGGAGGTCATGGACGCTATCGCGGACGAAATCGGCGAGGACCGTCTGGGGCTGAAACTCATGCCTTGGGATACGACTCGCGGTACAGGCTACGGTGAATCGTGCCTCTTCTACGTGCATCTAGACGTTGCTGATCAGCCTCTGCTTCACTGCAGAGAACGAAGACCCTGTCCCAACTTTCTCATACCTCGCGACTGAGCTTCGTAGACGTCATCCCGATTTGGCCTGGCTTCACGTCATCGAACCTCGCTGGGGTGATTCATGGTCAGGGCGCAACATCAAAACTCAAGAGAGTAACGACTTCTTGCGCGAGATCTGGCGCGGGAAGACGTACATTGTGGATGGCGGATATACCCGCGAGAGCGCTATAGAGGAGGCGGATGCCGACGAGCACGTGCTCGTTGCGATCGGACGCTACTACACCTCTAACGTGAGTCTCTTCTTGAGATGCGGTTGATCCTGGGCGCGAGCTGACTGGGCTGTGTTCTCTAGCCCGACTTGCCCATTCGGCTCCAGCACAATCTCCCGCTGACGCCGTACGTCCGCGAGTCTTTCTTTGCAGAGCGCGATCCAGCTGGATACAACACTTTTGGGTATGCGGAAGAGAGCAAGAAGATACTCGCGACGCTGGGCATTCCTGTGGAGGGCCTGTAAATCGTATTGCTATTGAACATACCAGTCTTATATGTAATGCACAGCTAGACATGCTCATTGTAGTGCCTCGTATCGCTGTCTCGTATAACTCGACTCGGCTTACTGCTCTCAATTTGGCACACGGTAGATGACGTCCGTGGAACCTCGTCGGCCTGGTCTGGCAACAGCGTTACTGTCTCAGACGCGTGACGTCACGGCCGGTCCTCGCGACGCGTCGGCGGCGCGGCGCGGTCGCGCTGCGCCCAGATGCGCGCCCATATATGAAGTCCATCACAACCGAGCGTAACCTTCTCCTAACTTCCACCACCTTCTCAGACCACTTCATACTCATGTCCGAATCTGACGTCCCTGACGGCTTCAAGCGTGTCGGAGACCACCCCGACGAGCTGTGGTCCGAAGCCGCGTTCAAACACGTCTTCCGCCTGCAAGAAGAGGAAGAGAAACGTGACCCGGACGCCTACGAGTAAGTCTCAGCTTTACATGGTACCGGAATTAGTATGCTGACTCTTTTGCTCTATCAGTATCTATATCTTCAATGACTTCTTCGGCTACGCCTGCGCGGACCTGATTCGACGCGAGATGCTCTCGCTCGGAACCAAAGCAGCGAGTACGACAGGACGCTTGGAGCTCAAGACTTTCCAGCAATTTGAAGCACTCGTGCTCTATATGGCCAACAGTAACGGCGCCAATGTGTTTCCCAGTATGTTCCTTTCAGAACGCAGTGGCAGAACCGTAGCACTGAGTAAACCCCTGCACAGCAATCGACGATGCTGAACTGGCGGAAGCTATCTACAACGGCTACGGGTCCTTGTGGCTGAGCTACCTCTTGAACCTGGAGAAGGCCGCGAAGCCAGATAACCTAAGCTCTACGAACCCAATCAATGCGCTGAACTTTAAGAACGTCGTACGCACGGCGGCCAAAGGTACGTCACGTCCATCCACCTCGGGGGTGTGGACGAGGGCTCATGGTGACTGTTTCACAGTTCTTGGACAGTATGGTGGCCTTGGCTTCGAGAACGACGCGGATGACTTTGAACGTGCTATGCTTCGTGTGCTCGAGCGCAACGGGATGAATGGTACGCCTAAGAAGAAGCTCTTCCTGGGCGAGAACTCTGGCGAAGATGACGAGGACGAGGACATGGAAGACGAAGACGAGGAAGACGATGATGAAGATGAAGGATTTGAGCCCGCGACGGACAAGGACGTGACACGTATCGCGAAGCAGTGGAAGATGACGCCGGCGCTTCAAACGCTCCGCGCCCGTGCGGTGCCGGTAGACTTCGTCAAAGGGCGGTCTTGGGACATATCTTCCTGGCCTGCGCATGAGCTTGCGGCGGAGAAGGCGAAGCAGCAGGCTATCATGGATGGGTTTGATTGAACCACGGAACGCGACCGTCAAGCGGGACGTGGGGGTTCTGCTATCTTGAACTCATTGTGTTTCGTACATTACATCTTGCTGATCTTTGCGTGCTATCATCTGACTGCCATCCCATTTCGCCACAACTTCTGCTCATCCCGTGAATCAGATACAGCCTTCAAATACATCGCAGAATACATAGCGAATACTGAATATCATGTAATCGTATAGAGCTTGATTATCCTCGCTCTTCCCTGACATAATCTTCAAGAGCAAGTGCATTGTTTCTCTGTTCGTTCGTCACCGAGATGAAGGACGTGGAAGTCCTGCACAGGGTCCATGAACTTGCACCGGTTCCCTCGCAAGACCAGGTCATATACCGGACGTCCCGCAGTCCGCCGACCGGCAAGTGCTGCCGCTACGGTTGCCGGCTAGTCCGAGGCCCACACTGCCAACATGGACGTCTTTCCTTCCAATAAAAGCTTAATTAGATCGAGATAAAACTACATGTTTTCCCCCACTTATCCACGCGATAAAAGGG